TCCCAGGGGTCTGGCCACGCCCCCACCCGCCGACCAATCACGACTTCTCAGCAGCCCACTAGGAACCGCGGCTTCGCCCGGACAGGCCCTTTATTTCCGCTCTTGCCCCGCCTCTTTTCCACATTGACCAATCAGAAGCCAGAGCCTTGCTTTCCCTCGCTGGCCGCGCCCCCTAATCTCCATCCTCTGCCGCCTCTCGCTGTGGCCCCGCCCCCCCGCTCGGCGCCCGCGGGTCCGGCCCCGCCCCTCTGACCTGCGGGCTCCGGCAGGTTCCGCACCATGTCCATCATGCTGGCCGTGGACATCCTGGGCTGCACCGGCTCCGCTGAGGAACGGGCGGCGCTGCTGCACAAGACCATCCAGCTGGCGGCCGAGCTTCGGGGCACCATGGGCAACATGTTCAGCTTCGCGGCGGTCATGGGCGCGTTGGACATGGCCCAGGTACGGCAGGGTCCGGTAGAGCCGGGCATCGGGTAGCCTCCGGAGCAGCGCTGGGTGCATTCCCTCGGCATGGCTGTGTGTAAAATTGGGAATCTGTGACTCTGGGGCGTTGGGGGAAAGGATGACTAGAACTGGGCTCGCTAAAGGCTGACCTGTTCTGAGGCCAAGCCCGACCCCTTCTCTAGGCCTCAGCCCCCCCGCCCCCGTGAATGTCGAGCATTATATGAGTTTAAGGAATAAATATCAAGTGGTTCTCGTTTATAGCCACCTAGCAAGTGCCACCTAGCAAGGGTTCTTTACAAGCCCTGACTCCTCCAAACAACCTTATGAAGTAGGTGCCTTAGTTGTCCCCACTTTACTTACGGGGAAATCGAGGTAGCACAGCACTGGCCTAAGCTCACACAGCCGGGGCGGAAGGAGGTGGGCATGAAACCAGGTCTGCTCGCAGAGCCCGGTTCTCACCCATGCGCGCTTCCTCTCTGCTGCTTCGTCAGGGGAACCCCAGAATCCCAAAGGCAATGGTTCGACTCCCAGCCCTGCCACTTATTTCTGGAATGACCCTCTCTCAGCCTTAGTTCCCATCTGTAAAATGGGCCGTCGTGAGGGTCTGGGAGCCGGGACGAGCAAAATGCGTTGTCCCTGCTCCGCGAATGGTGAACATCGTGGTTATTAGCTCCTCCCTGGGTGTCCATGCAGCAGGGCGGCCTGGGGCCCTGTAGACCCCTTCCCTGGCTGCTCTCACAGTCTGGTCTCCCCAGATTGCCCGGCTGGAGCAGACGTGGATGACCCTGCGGCAGCGCCACACAGAGGGCGCCATCCTCTATGAGAAGAAGCTCAAGCCGTTCCTCAAGAGCCTCAATGAGGGCAAAGGTACCTCCCCACCTTGTTGTGTGACCAGAGCAGGTTCCAGTCCTCCCGGGGCAGGCAGAGTCACTCTGTGTGTGGACGACGAGGATAGCTTGACAAGAGCTCGGGCCAGGCCCTTCACCTCCCGCTCACTTCCTGAACTGGGCCTGTGCCACATCCAGGCCCAGCCTCCGCCCTCAGGTTGGGCCAAGGCTGCAGGGGGCTCAGCAGGAGCAATCCCAAGGAAGGTTTTGTCCTGGGAGTCAGGAGCCCTGGGGGACCTCTGGGATCTCAGGCAGGCCCCCTTCCCTACCCACCCACCTTCAGTTTCTGGAGCTGCATGGACGGCAGGGCCTCCAGGATCTCTAAGTACCTGCTGTCTCCCTCCCCCCAGAAGGCCCGCCGCTGAGCAACACCACGTTCCCTCACGTGCTGCCGCTTATCACTCTGCTGGAGTGTGATTCGGCCCCAGCTGAGGGTCCGGAGCCCTGGGGCAGCACAGAACACGGGGTGGAGGTGGTGCTGGCCCACCTGGAGGCTGCCCGCACAGTGGCACACCATGGAGGCCTGTACCACACCAACGCCGAGGTCAAGCTGCAGGGTGAGTTGCCAATGGCATCTGAGCAATGAGCTGGTCTCTGGTCCTGCACGCCTGGGCCTCCTTCCACCTGACTTGCCCTCCCCTCTCTTCCAAGCACCCATTCACATTTCTCCATTCCTCTTCCCTGCCCCATCTCCCTGATTCTTTTTTCTCATCCCTTTGCTTCCTCGCTTATCAGTTCAACAAGCAACCGTGGCAGGCACCAGGTGTGTGTGGGGAGAACAGGCACAGATGATTCAAAGAGGACCATAGCGGAGTACCATAGCTTCTGGGAGCCTCAGTTTTCCCATCTGTAAAATGGGCGTTCTGCCAGGCCTACCTTACAGGGTAGTTTGCAATGCACTTGGCTTGTGGCCCTGGGGCTGAGACAGACCTGGCTTGCCTTCAAGGGGCTTGCAGTCTAGTCAAAGGTAGAACTCCATTTTGTGAAAGCAGCAAAAGCAGCCAAGAGAAAATAGCTTCAAACAATCCATCTTTTACTGCTTTAGGCATCATTTGTCATAAAAGTTTGCCGTGGACAAATTGAAAATTACAGCTGAGTAAAACAAGATTTAAAAAAGAAAATCACCCACAAGCCCCAGCACTCAGTGCTGTGAGCATTCTCGTCATGTCTTTCCTGGGTTTCTTTTTCAGAAAGAAAGCAAACAAAATTTTTTGTCTTCTTCTTACAAAATGTATGTTTCTTAGGGGAAAAATTAGGATAAAAATCACTCACCCAAGATCTACCCCCCCCAACTTAGCATGAATATTTTTACCTTCTAGTCATTTAAAAATGATATGTTGCAAATAGCAGGAAAGACCAGTTACTAACCTGCACGGTCACGTTTGTCAATAAATCTTGTTGGATCCCTGGCACAACTGGGTGGGGGAGGTCCCCCTCGGAGTGGGACCCTGAACATGTAGGTGCTCTGGGCAGAACTGGCCTACCCCTCTGGAAGGGGGCCCCCTGACCTCTGTACCCCACCCTGCAGGGTTCCAGGCCCGACCAGAGCTCCTGGAGGTGTTCAGCACGGAGTTCCAGATGCGCCTTCTCTGGGGCAGCCAGGGTGCCAGCAGCAGCCAGGCCCGGCGCTACGAGAAGTTTGACAAGGTCCTCACTGCCTTGTCCCACAAATTGGAGCCTGCTGTCCGCTCCAGCGAGCTGTGACCTCCAGGGACCCTTCCCCTCTGTGGCTACCAGCTGCAACGGGGATAGAGGGTCACCGAGCTTTTCCCAGAGCACCCCAGGGACACTGTGATCAGCCCGAGAATGTTCTGGGTTCAACTCCAGGATCCCCCTCACACCTCCAGTGTCCTGCATGGACTCTGGGCTCCGAGCCACACGCTCACCAAGAATCCTTTCAGGAACAAGGGAACGACCATTCCTCTCTTCAGCTTCTGCTGCTCCCCACCCTGCTGAGGTGTCCTGTGTAGGCGCTGCGGGAGGTTCCTCACACCTCCTCACTCTCCTGCAGACGTCAGCTCCTCACCGACACCAAGGCTCCCCTCTGGCTGTAAATAAGTCTGTCCTGTAAATACATGTACAGAAGCCATGTTCTTTCTTTCATATAATAAACTTTTATGACTCTTTCTTCTGCCTCTCGGGGTCCTGAGGTGGATGGAAGCATCCTTGCTTGGTGAAAGCCCTTGGGACATTCCCAGATTGTACCAGGAGTGAGAGTTACAGCCCATATTCCCTCAGGCCCTATCCTGGAGGAGCTGACATCTGTCAGTGGGGGAAAGACCGCCTTTCCGTATTCCTCCTCCATTCCTTGTCTCGGGAAGCCAAATCCAAGCTTCCCACAAATGCACATGGGGTAAGAGGGCTTTTAAAATCTAGGAATCCGGGCCTCCCCGGTGGCGCAGTGGTTGAGCGCTGGGTTGCGAAGCTACCCGCAGCCTCTGCAGCGCCGGTCGGTTCGATCCCCACTGCTCCCCAGCCACCGGAGGAGGGTCCCACATGGCGCGCAGACCTCTCCTGCCGCCCGCTGCTCCCCTCAGCAGTGGACTTCGGTCCTTCTGCCTGCTCTGCTCCCCGCTCTGGCTCTGGTGAATTCTCTCACCCTCCTGCGCTTCTGACTGTACCCAGTGCTTGTATAAATAAATAAATAAATCTTTAAAAAATAAATACATAAAATCTAGGAATCCAACTCTGCTGGGGAAAAGCTAAAGGGAGAAGGAGCCTTTCCTGGGTCACAGCAGCAGAAGGAAGAAGGCTATGTGTCCTGCGCATGTGTAGGCTTTGAAATGTGACCCCAGAAGTCTGTGTGGTGGAGCAGAAAATTTTTGAGGAGAGCCATGAAGGCAGTTTTCTAGGTTTCACGGGGTGGGGGGAGAAGGTAGGCAATGTGATCCGGATTCCAGAACAGGCTGTTCACAGAATTTGAAACGTCTGGGATCCTCTGCCTTTGAACGCCTTTGACCAAGAGGGGTGCTGGGTAATTGTACATTAGATTCCGGGCAGCACAGACTTGGATGTAGTTCTATTATTCACTAACTGGGTGACCTTGGATAAGGGACTTAGCCTCTTGGGTCCCAATAAGCAAGAGAGATCTCTTGGATAGCTGTCAAACACCCAGCACATAGTAACTGCTGGATACGGGGCCACTGCGCCCCACACATAATGGACGGTCAACGATCATTGATTATCTTCTGAAGCAAAACACTTTGTGTTTGTGCCTCATTGAAATATCACCATTTCCCTGTGTGACAGATGCTGTTACTATAAGATATGTCAGGCACCTAACACATAAATGGCGCTCACCAAAAGCTATTAGCGCTCTTTAGTCATGGAAAAGAAAAAAAAAGCACGGAAAAGGCGCATTGCAAGATGTAAGGTGCCAAACAAGTTTTTGTTTCATTTGTTACGTCACTCTTTGCGGTCCTAAGCCTTCAGTATTCTTTCTGAGCTGTTCTACTAGGACGGTCCCCTGGTTACCGTGGCCATGGAAACGCGACCTACCATTCTGGGATGGGCGGCTCGCGGGCTCCCCCTGCAGGCACCTTCCGGTCCTGCGGGGGGACGACGGGCCGGGCCTTGAGCGGGAAGCGAGGGAAGCCGGGAGTTGTAGGCCGAGGGCGGAGGCTGCCGCGGAGCGATGCACTCCGGGAGTTGTAGTTCCCGGGAGAGGCTGTCGGCGGCCCCGGACCCAGCCCGCGCCTCACACGGATGGCGGCTGCGGCGCGCGGCTGCCCGCGCTGGGGCTCGCTCCTCGGGCTGCTCGGGCTGGTCTGCGCCGCAGCCACGGCTGCCTCGTGGGACCTGACTTCGCTGAGCTGCAGCTTCGGAACTTTCTGCGAATGTGACTTCCGGCCCGACTTGAAGGGTGAGGCGAGCCGCGGGTGCCCTCGGGCGCCGGGGTGCGCCGGGGCGGGACCCGGAGGGTAGAGCCGAGGGCCGGGACCCCAGACCTCGGGCCCGCGGGGCCGGCGGTGGCCTGGTGATGAGAGACCCTGAGGGCCTGGGGCGCGGAACTTGGGGCCAGGCAGAGAGCTGCCAGGGCGGAGGAGGGCCTGTGACAGCGGGGCCCTGGGGCGGGGCTGGGGGCGGCCGGGCCCTCCACAGCGGGCCGGCCGTCGGGGGAGAGGCCTGCCTTGGGAATGGGCCGCAGTCGGGGTCCCGCGGACCTGTGACAGCGGGCGCTCACTGTGGGCCGGCGCAATACAAAGGGCTGCCTGGTGGGGGCGCTGCCGAGCTGAGTCACGTCGGAGGGTGGCCCAGGCAACCCAGACCCCGCGCCCTTTCGACGGCCGGCTTCTGAAATCGCCCGAACACAAGAATCCCTAAATCCTGACGTGACCTCCCGTGGACCTCTCCCGCTCTGACTCTGCACTTCTTGTGGTCCTAGGTCTGGAGTGTGACCTGGCCCAGCACCTGGCCGGCCAGCACTTGGCCAGGGCGCTGGTGGTGAAGGCACTGAAGGCCTTCGTGCAGGACCCCGCCCCCACCAAGCCGTTGGTCCTCTCCCTGCACGGCTGGAAAGGCACCGGCAAGTCCTACGTCAGCTCCCTGATGGCGCACTACCTCTTCCGGGGCGGCCTCCACAGCCCCCAGGTGCACCACTTTTCCCCCGTTGTCCACTTCCCCCACCCCGGCCACATGGAGCGCTACAAGGTAGGCTGCTTGTGTCCTGGATCTGGGGTGCGAGACCCTAGGGAGGGAGTCCTGAGCACAGAGAAAGGGAGTCACTTGCCTCAGGCTACACAGCCAGTGGGCACCTCAGCCCTCAGGACCCACCCCGCACAGAGCCATTCCACCTGGCAGAGAGTCTTCGCCTGAATTCCTGAGGGGCAGTAATGGTTTGGGACCTGCCAGGGTTGCTGTGAGGAATGGGCTTGTAGAAGTGTCTGTCGAGCCTGTCTGCATTAGCGACTCTCTGTAAAGAACTTAGTCCCGGTGTGGGACTCCAGAGTAAGCATCAATCGAAGCTCTCACTGGAACTGTTGTTGTTGATTGCAAGGTCTGTTCCAGGCTGGTAGGTTTCAGCTGTCAGCGCTGCTGAGAGCAGGCTCAGGGAGCAGGAAGCAGCCTCCCCCTGTGCAGAAAGCTGCAGGAGTCAGGGCAGGAGGCCTGGGGTTTGAGGCCCTCTTCTCTGACTGCTGTGTGAGCTCGAACAAGTTCTGCTCTTCTCAGGGCCACCACTAAGTGGCGCTCTTTGGGACCCCATATCTTCCCTGGGAAGAAGTCTGGGCTTGGGGGCAATCTCCAGGCCCCCTCGAACTCCTGCCTCTCCCCTGCAGAAGGATCTTAAGAGCTGGGTCCAGGGGAACCTCACTGCCTGCGGCCGCTCCCTCTTCCTCTTCGATGAGATGGACGAGCTGGCCCCAGGCCTGATGGAGGTCTTGCGACCTTTCCTGGGCCCCTCCTGGGTTGTGTACGGGACCAACTATCGCAAAGCCATCTTCATCTTCATCAGGTGGGCCCGGCTGTGCAGCGGCCATGGTGTGGGGACACTTGGCAGAGGTGTCAGTTCATGGCCTGGGGTCCTACAGCAGAATGTCATCCCCCCGAGTCCTCCGGTTTTCCCAGAGCCCTCCCCGTGCTCACTGGTGACGCTGGCATTCCAGGTGGCTGACTTTCCCCGGGCAGTCTTAAAACTCCATCTTGTTGATCCTGACCATTTGCTTATGAAGGCCCTGCTGGGTCACAGTCTTTCCTCATCCGTGGCCCAGGTCACAGGCCTGGGAGAAGCCAGACCGGAGTGCTCGTCCCAGCTCCGAGTCCCACTTGGGTTTCCTCCAGCAAATCACCTCTGCACATGATTCTCCTCAACAGCAGGGCCCACTGTCCTAGCGGCTGGGCGAGGGAAAGTCAGTGAAGGGACCCAGGAGGGTTTTGTAAACTGTAAAGTGCATGGCACATCTAGGTGAAGATCCAGGGGTCGGGGTGGAGGGCACAGGCTCCGGAGCAGAGAAGTGTTTTCAGGGCATTTGGCCCTTCCACACTGAGCTGGGCCCCACGGCTCAGGTTGTGTCAGGTGGCGTATGGGAAGTGAGGGCCAAATCCTGGCCCCGCTGTCTGAGTCTCGGCCCGGGACCTGTGGTTTTAGCAACACTGGTGGTGAGCAGATCAACCGGGTGGTGCTGGAGGCGTGGCGCAGCCGCCGGGAGCGGGAGGACATCCGCCTGCAGGAGCTGGAGCCGCTCATCTCCCAAGCTGTGCTCGACAACCCGAACCGTGAGTTCGTGCTCAGGAGCACCCTGCACTCCCCAACGCACACACATGCGCGCCAACTTGCCCGGGCCTGGCTCCAGCAGGCTTGGGGCTTTGCTCCCAGGTGCCTTGGGCCAGGCTTCCTAAGGAGCTCCGGGTTCTCTGGCATCTGATGCTCTGCCCACTGACCCTACCTGCCCAGCCCAAGTTTGGGGGCTCCTGGCTGTCATACAGCTTCCCCAAGCCCCACAGCCAGAAGGTGGCTGAGGAGTCTGCCGTTTGGGGACAGGGCCCTGCTTCTCCGGGCTTACGAAGCAGCCTCTCCCCCCCCACCCCCGCCCTCCCTGCAGATGGCTTTTGGCGCTCAGGTATCATGGAGGAGCATCTTCTGGATGCGCTGGTGCCCTTCCTACCACTCCAGCGGCACCATGTCCGGCACTGCGTGCTCAATGAGCTGGCCCAGCTGGACCTAGAGCCCAGGGATGAGGTCATCCAGGCTGTGCTGGACAGCACCACCTTCTTCCCTGAGGAGGAGCAGCTCTTTTCCTCCAATGGCTGCAAGATGGTGGCTTCCCGAATCGCCTTCTTCCTCTGACGTCCCAGGTGGCATCCCTGCCCCTGGCCTGGCTGTCCTGAGGCTCTGCTAGAGGGACCCTTGTTCTGAGCCGCCTGAATAGTGGGGCCTAGGACGCAAACGTGAAGACGAGGAGTATGCTGACTGGCCGCGGACAAAGTGCCAGTGCAGATCTTGGCTTCTTAACTGGCTTGAGGGCACTTTTTTTGGCCTTTGCGTCCTGTAAGGGCGCTCCTGGCTCCCCCAGAACCTCTGTGAGCCTTAACCTTGCCCTGTGGCCTGAGCCTTCTTACAATGTGACTTGTAACTCAGGGACTGTGGCTCGTGGCTGCCCCATCCCTCCTCAGTCTGTCACCCTGGGCACCTTACTCCTTCACCATCCCCCAGTTCTCCACCCCCCACCCCAAGTCCCAGCAATGCCAAGCCAGGCTGAGACTTCTCGGTCTCCGTGAAGAGAAGACCTGGTTTTTAAAGTTTTTAATTTTGTAAAAGAAGAGAAAAAACACAATAAACTTAGCCACGGGACCAGAAGGATATCGGCTGAGGTTTCTAATTGTTCCAGAGGCAACTGCTTTGCTGAGTGCCAGTGTTTGTGGGGGCAGAATCCCCAGAAAGAAGCAAGGGGGCTCAGTGGCGCCTTCAGACAGACGCTTAACTGCTCAAGCTGGAGTCCTGGTTAGCCTGCACGCTGCTGGGGTTTTGGCTCAGGTCCTGGGTGACTTCGCTATTGCTGGAATCTGGGCTTGAGCTCTGCGTCTGGGTCTGGGCGTCTGTGGTCTTGCTGGGGATCTGGCATTGGCCCTGGGCGAGTTCAGTGTTGCTGGGGCTCTGGCTTGAGTCATAAAAAACCTTGCTAGAACTTCGGATCAGTCCCCAACCTGAACCCCTTGTTCGGGCAACCTTGACCTTTCTGAACCTCTTCCTTGAGCACTGGGTCCCCTTGGTCTTGTGGAGCCTCCGAATTTTGCCCTGAATGGCCTGTGTCTGGCTGGGACTCTGGCCCTGGGCGGCCTCCGTCTGACTGGGACTCTGGCCCTGGGCGGCGTGTGTCTGGCTGGGACTCTGGCCCTGGACCGCCTCCGTCTTGCTGGGACTCTGGCCCTGGGTGGCCTCCGTCTTGCTGGGACTCCGGCCCTGGGCGGCGTGTGTCTGGCTGGGTCTCCGGCCCTGGGCAACCTGTGTCTTGCTGGGACTCCGGCCCTCGGCGGCCTCCGTCTTGCTGGGACTCCGGCCCTGGGCGGCCTCCGTCTTGCTGGGACTCTGGCCCTGGGCGACTTGTGTCTTGCTGGGACTCCGGCCCTGGGCGGCCTCCGTCTTGCTGGGACTCTGGCCCTGGGCGACTTGTGTCTTGCTGGGACTCCGGCCCTGGGCGACCTGTGTCTTGCTGGGACTCTGGCCCTGGGCGACTTGTGTCTTGCTGGGACTCCGGCGGCTCTGGGCGGCCTGTGTCTTGCTGGGACTCCGGCGGCCCTGGGCGACCTGTGTCTTGCTGGGACTCCGGCCCTGGGAGGCCTCCATCTTGCTGGGACTCCGGCCCTCGGTGGCCTCCATCTTGCTGGGACTCTCGCCCTGGGTGGCCTCCATCTTGCTGGGACTCGGGCCCTGGGTGACCTCTGATTTGCTGGGACTCCGGCTCTGGCCCTGGGAGGTCTCTGTCTTGCTGGGACTCCGGCTCTGGCCCTGGGAGGTCTCTGTCTTGCTGGGACTCCGGCTCTGGTCCTGGGAGGTCTCTATCTTGCTGGGGCTCTGGCTCTGGTCCTGGGTGGCCTTGCTTTTTCTGGGGCTATCTATCAGGTATTGGTCTTCCCAGTTCCCCAAGTCTGAGGATCCAGACCTCAGCAGTGAGGAGTCGGAGAATGTCACAATGGTGGCTGAGGAGCTCCTGTATTCCTGGCAGATAGTGGACGTCTCCGTCTCTGAGATGGACACAGCCCTGCCTGGGAAGGATGTCCAAGAACACCCGTCAGGCTGCCTTCCTCGGACAGCTCCAGAGACAGGATGCCTCTAGGCCTCACCCTGGCCAAAGCGGAAGGCCATCCAGCTCCTCCAGCCCAGCCTCCCTAGGCCACCACACACAACAGGTGCGCCAGGGCTGTGAGATAAAGGCCCACTCACCTAGCCTGGTCTCCACTCTGCTGGCTGTCCCCTGCCCTCTGTCCCCACCTCAACCAACAGCTCTCTCCTGCAGCAGTCCCCCTGCTCTGTGTGCCCCCTCCCAAGGTACTGCCTTGGCAAGGTGGTTAACCCCTACTTTTCCTTCAGGTCCTGAAGTCCTCCCTGAGCCCCCAAAGGGGGCTAAATGCTCCTACCCTCCCCTGCTGCCCTGGCTGGCTGCCTGTCTTGGCTGGCTGGCTGTCCTGGCTGTCTGTCTACCTGCGTCTTCTTCCTTCAGGACCAAGCACCCCCCTGCAGACACTGGCGGTGCTGCCAGCCCAGCAGTGGCACCCGCACAGACTCCTGGGACATGTTCTGGTGGCGCTGCAGTGACCGGCAGGAAGGAGGCTGGCACTGCTGTTTCTATGCTGTGACTGTTCATGGCCGCCCCTTCGACCTGCAGCCGCAGTCCTGGGTTTTCATTTTTGCCCCCTCCCAGCTAGCGTCCGGTGGATTTGGGGTAGAGGCCTGAGAGACACACTCAAGGTTTATGGGCTGATTTCAGGGAGAAGCCAAGGGGGTAGAGAAAGGAACAGGCCAGTCAGGAGATCAAGGGTGGAGTGGGCATCAACTGTGAATGGCTTGTCGTGAGACCCGGGGACCAGGCATCCCAGGCTCTGCGCTGAGCGCGGGCTCGCGCCACCCCTGCAAGGCTGGGTTTTTTACCCCCACTTTAGAGTCACGCTGTCAGCAGCAGAGCCGATTTTGTTCCCAGACCAGGGGTTTCTGACCCCTGACTTTTCTCCACTCTGGTTTTGGCAGGGGCATCTGGGACTTACAGGCCAAGCTGGAGCCTGACGAGGTCTGGTAGCTGTCAGTCAGGGACATCACCTTGCTCGGGCCAGGTGTCGGCTTCTCCTAAGGCAGGAGACAGATGGGGCAGCTGTGGGCTGGGGCAGGCCTGGGCCGTTGGCTGGGGCTCTGGAAGGCCAGCAGGCTCTGGGCCCCTGCGGTGGCAGTTGTCCCCAGCCTAGCGCTTCTCCAGGCTGCCAGGTTAGACTGGGTGGGGGACCTGGAGAGGCTGACTGTACTGGACGGAGAGTGGCCAGGCTAGACGGACAGTGCTGTGAGAAAGGCAGAGTCAAGAGATGACAAGAGCCTCAGTTTCCCCATCTTCAAAATGCAAATGAGTTCAAGGGCAGACAGGCTTCTGCAAGCTGTAAACCTTCATCTGCTTCATCCTCCCCGCAGGGGAGGGAACTGCTGCTATGACTACTTCTTGGGCCAAGAAACCAAGGCTCTGGGCACCTAAGTGCCCTGCCCAGGGGTTCGAAGTGGGTTTGAATCCAAGCCTATAGGACCCCACAGCCGGGCTCTTTGCTGCTCGCCTCTGGCCTGCTCACATCTCCTCACGCCTGCAGGGATGTGCAGGAGGGATGGTGGGGCGAGGGCAGAGGCAGCCAAGGTGCCAGCTCACTGTCTCCCACAGGGAGGGAGCCCCCATAACTTCCAGGGGTAGGCGATCAAAGTTTTGTCTTCTGTATTCTAAGTGAGTTGTCATGCTCGCTGTTTTCCATTTACGGCAAGGGGCGCGGGATTCCATTTGCTGCAGCTGCAGAGATTTGTCCGAAGACAATGACTCGATGCGTATCCGCAGCAGAGCAGACAGACCACCGGGGCACCCGCAGCACGGAACACCCGCGCAATGAGGGGGCAGACGGCCCGGACACTCGGCGCGCCGCAGGACAGGAGCCCGGGGCCCGTGGACACGCGTGTCTGTCCACCAGCCAGGACGCCCGTGAGCGGCGCTGGGCGGAGGGAGGGTGGGAGGGCTTCCAAGAGCCGGGAGGTGCTCTTGCTTGGTTCTTGCATAATGGTTTCATGCGTGTATCCATTTTGTGGAAACTTACCAAGAGTTTACTTATGATTTGTATACTTTTCTATATTTGTTACGGTCAATAAAGTGTAGAAATTTAGAATTAAAGCTCTGACCAGTGTGCACAGAACTCAAGGCGAGCAAGTGCAGGCGTGGGACGGCGTCTGCGAGGGGCCACCCCCTCTTCACTCTCCCTCAGGGCTGCCCCTGCCAGGCCCCGGCCCAGCTCACAGCGCGCTGTCTCCCGCCCAAGTCACACAGCTGGCTGGGAGCAGAGCGCCACCTGAGCAGCCTGCAGCCCTCAGCGCTGGCCTGGGATGCCCTCCGCCCAGGGCCTCGAGGACCCCAGGCCCGACGTGTGGCCCACTCACCTCTTCCTCCTCCTCGGAGGCCGGGGTCTCTTCTTTAGGGTGTTCTGACTCTGTCTGCAGATTCTTATCCGTGGCTTCCAGCTCCTCGGAGGTTTCCTGGGAGGGCTCCTCCTGCTGCCACAGGGACCGGGCCTTCTGGCGCTCTAGCTCCCGTTCCCTGAGCTGCCTGTGGCCAAGGCCCCAGAGTGAGCCTCACTGAGGCTGCCTTCCTTCCTTTCTCCCTCCCTCCCTCCCTCCCCTCAGGCAGTGGCCTGAGGAGGCAGCTGGGCCCAGAGGAGCCTGGAGCCCCTGCCATGCCCTGCTCCTGGCTCGTGGCCCCTGCTCCAGGACTTACCCCACAATGCCTTGAGCAACGTCGGTCGTTAGGAAGTTCTCCATCACTCGATCCAGCTGCAACCTGGCCAGGTGGGCCACCTGGCTGCTGAGCACCTCCTTCATTGACATGCCTGGGAAGAGGCTCATCAGCATGGAGGGCAGCTGCCAGGAAAGGGGGTGAACAGCAAGGTGTGGGCTAGGCCAGGGGGCCAGGAGTGGTGCTAGCCTGCCCTGGCAGAGTCCTACTGGCCACCTCAAGGCTGAAGAGGGAAGGGTTTAGAAATTGTTTATAAAGGGCAAGATCCTTTTGTCCCAGAACTGTCAAGAGACCTTGCGAGAAGACTTATTCAGGAAAGGATTACTGATGCCTGGTCCAAGCAGGGGCTCTGGAGCCCACAGAGGAGGGTTTGACCCCTCAGCTGCGCACCTGGGGCAAGGGGACTGGCTGCTTTGAGCCTTACCCTTTTCATCTGCGGGATGGTGATAATATTATCTGTCTTGTAGGCTACAAGAGGTGGTTAAACAGTGATGCCAGGTCAGAACAGTGCCTGGCACAAGTGAATGCTCCAGCACCAGCAGCTCTTATTATTGGTACCAAACCAGATTTTTCAGGATAGGTAGTATTTTAGGTGGGGGTGTGGGAGGTATAGTGCCCACCCTCCTGGCCCAGCAGGAACAAACCTTCGGGTGCTTGGGATCAAGAAGAAGGACTGTGACAACATCCTGGCGGGCCCCCAAAATGTTCTGCAGGAGATGCCGGACCTTGGCCCGGTAAAGGTAGTACTGGGGCTTCTGGGGGTTGTGCTGGATGGCCATTGAGAAGTGGTACTCTGCCTTATCGAACTTCCTGCAGGACACAGGGGCCCACAAGCTACCTTGAGCTGGACCCCCTGGAGGGACATGACGGCTTCAGGGCCTCTTAGGGAGTTTGGGTAAGACCAGGTTGGTCTCGCCACACACGCGTGTGCTCGCTTCCTGTCACTGTGTTCTTGATTCAGTCAATACTTAAATGCTAAGGCCTCCCCGGTGGCGCAGCGGTTGAGCACTGGGTTGCGAAGCTGCCCGCGGCTGCGGCGCCGGTTCGATCCCCGGCTGCTCCCCGGCCACCGGAGGAGGGTCCCACATGGCGCGCAGACCTCTCCTGCCGCCCGCTGCTCCCCTCAGCAGTGTACTTCGGTCCTTCTGCCTGCTCTGCTCCCCGCTGGCTCTGGTGAATTCTCTCACCCTCCCGCGCTTCTGACTGTACCCAGTGCTTGTATAAACAAAACAAACAAACTAAATAAATAAAAAACATGCCTCTATTAAAAAAAAAAAACAAAACCTTAAATGCTAGTGTACAATCCGAACATAAGTGAATGTTTTTATGATCTTTGTATGGTCGAGGCCGGGGCAGAGATGGGGTTCAGAAGGGGGGAACTTGAGGGCCTCCCCCGTGGCGCAGCGGTTGAGCGCTGGGTTGTGAAGCTGACCACAGCCTCTGCAGCGCCGGTTCGATCCCCGGCTGCTCCCCGGCCACCGGAGGAGGGTCCCACATGGCGCGCAGACCTCTCCTGCCGCCCGCTGCTCCCCTCAGCAGTGTACTTCGGTCCTTCTGCCTGCTCTGCTCCCTGCTCTGGCTCTGGTGAATTCTCTCACCCTCCCGCGCTTCTGACTGTACCCAGTGCTTGTACAAATAAATAAATAAAATAAATAAATAAAATAAATAAATAAATAAATAAATAAAAAAAGAAGGGGGGAACTTGAAACTGCTGCCACCTGCATCCCGGGAGCCGGCTCTGCCCAGTTTGCACGGGCCCTGGTAAGGGCCCTGATAAGCAGCAGAACAACCAGTTCTGAGAGAAAATAACGTCTTTGAAAAGTAACTTCGACTCCGCATTCTCCACCTTCCTCCAAGGCCAGACCCTATCCTGTAAAAGCTTGCCCTTAGCCCCCAATGGGTGCGACTTCTCTGACCCCCGTGGGGGTTGGTGAACCTCACCTGTGAGTGCAATAAATTTCTTGCCTGTAAGAAACTTAGCCTGGCTTTCCTTTTCTTTACCGTGCCAATCCTTTCAATCTTGAAGTATGGAAGGCCTTTCTGAGAATGTCATGAACTCAACAGAAATAAAAAAAATTAACTTGACTCTGATTAAATTCTGAATTCCTGAGCAGCAAAAAATACCACAAAGGAGAGCAATAATTAAAGGTAAATATATTTGGTCACACAAGGCAGAAAATAAGCTGGTTTTCCTAGCCTACAAAGAAGTCTTAAAACCAAAAATATGTTTTAAAAAAAAAGAATTGTAAACAAAAAATTCTTAAAAAATATGTTTTTTAAAGGCTCAACTTAATGGCAAAACAGGCAAAATATTTGGGCAGGCAATAAGGCTGATAAACACGAAAGATGCTGGACTGCACTTAGCAAAGCAAACATACAAAGTCAAAAAGAGCATCCCCGCCATGACATTAGCAGAGTTAAAAAAGGAGTTTTTAACACTTTGTCCTAGGGAGCTTTGGGAAAACCAAGACTCGCTTTTCCCTGGTGAAGTTTATGTTGATTCACTGTTTCGGGAGAATAATTGGCTATTTTAAAATGTCAAATTTTCACACTCATTCACCCAACAATTGAAGTTCAGCAACCTAACTACAGTCTTACTAGTATAAATGCCCCAAAACACATACCCTGGGTGCTCATTACAGAGTTATTTATAATAAAAAACTGAAAGCAGCCCAAATAGTCATCAGCAGAGGATCCTCTAAAGAAACAAATTGTGGGGACTCCCCGGTGGCCCAGCGGTTGAGCGCTGGGTTTGGAAGCTGCCCACAGCCTCTGCAGCGCCAGTTCGATCCCCGGCTGCTCCCCAGCCACCGGAGGAGGGTCCCACATGGCGCGCAGACCTCTCCTGCCGCCCGCTGCTCCCCTCAGCAGTGTACTTCGGTCCTTCTGCCTGCTCTGCTCCCCGCTCTGGCTCTGGTGAATTCTCTCACCCTCCCGCGCTTCTGACTGTACCCAGTGCTTGTATAAATAAATAAATAAATAAATAAATAAATAAATAAATAAATAAATAAATCTTTAAAAAAAAAAGAAAGAAAGAAATTGTGGTTCCTCCGTAGAGCAGAGTACTACGCCAACAACAAAAGAAAATAAATGCCCTGGGAAGTAAAAAAGCCATTCCAAAAAAGCTTAGCATGCTCGCACTTTTGCAAAACGACAGTAATTGTCGAGTCTGCAGAGGAGACAACCTGGAGGGATCTTAGAGCACAGGGGGGGCTGGGAGGAGGGGGGTGGGGGCGGGTGTTGGAGGGTGGGTATCAGAAGGAGCTTTCACGTCCTGAGTTCTACAATGGTGAACACTTTTTTCAAAAAAGCTCCATTACCATAACGATCTTCACAAAAGTTAGGATTTTCAGTTAAAACTTAAAAAATAAAATCAACATTTAGGAGCCATACCTGGAAGAGCAGCAGCACCTGCAGCCTGGGATCCGGGCTCGCAGCCAGGTCTTGGCCCTCCCGGCCCGGCCCCGCCCCGCCCCGCCCCGCCCCGCCCACGGCCAGGCCCCGCCCACACCTGCCCCGCCCCGCCCACGGCCAGGCCCCGCCCACCGCCCGGCGCACCGGCTTCTCTGCTCGCAGAAGGCCCTCTTCTCCTGCAGCAGGCCCATCCGCAGGTTGGCGCCCTCGTCCTGCGGGCTCAAGGCCAGCGCCTGCTTGTAGTCCGCTTCAGCAAAAGCCAGGTTGCCCATCTGGAAGAAGCAATCTGGGGCCCGGGGCTGGAGTTGAGCGGTCCTCCAACTCCCAGGCCCCGGGAAACCCAGCCCGCCCTGACCCCCCGGGGGCTGGGGCTGAACCGTGGCTGCTAACACCCACGGGCATTCGCGCGCGCTCAGGAAGCCTTTTCCCAGCCGCTTGATCCAGCATTTTGAAGAGACTGTATATGGCCAGTCTGTCGTCTCCCAAAGTGGGTGCTGGGACGCTACGACTGAAAGGTTTCACGTTTTCTCCCTCCCTTTGGGGGGGACTCCATCTCGCAGCCCCAGCCTGGCTCCCTCCCTGCTCACCACCTCGGTTGATAAAGAGGCCTTTCTCCTGCTGCTCGTCCTTGATGGCCTTGTTGAGCAGCAGCACACTCTCCTGGTAGGCCCCCTGCCTGTAGCAGTGCACGGCGAAGTCATTGTAGGCCAGCAGCAGCTGGCGCTGTGCCTGCTGCACCGTGTCCCCTTCGCTGTCGCCGGCCATGTCCAGAGCTTTCAAGAAGTCCTCCACAGCCGTATCAAACTCCCCGAGCTGTCGGTAGATGGTGCCCCTAGGGAGGATGCACAAGAGGGCGTCCTCAGACCAGCTCTGCCCACTCTAGACCTCTGGAGTGGGTGGGGACTCTCACCTCCTGCACTAGGTTTGGCTCTGGGTTTGCATGACACGGGATGGCTACTCAGAAAACCTGCTAGTTACTGGTAATTTAATTTTTGTCAAATTATAACACCTTTCTGTAGGGGGGATGCCTGTCTCCATGCTAATATGCTGCTGTAGGTGGGACAGGCCTTTGGCCCTTACAGTTTATTTGAGAAAACACTCCAGGCTTAAGGAGTTAAATGGCCATGAATCTTATGTGGTGAGTCCTTGGGGGCTGGGTGGCCAGATTGAAACCCAAGCCTCTTCCACTGATCTGGGCTGAGTCTCCTGTGAACAGTCACAGGCCTAGGGATCCAGGTTTCCAAGGTTAACCGAGGCTGCTGCCTGCATCTCCTCCCCTGATCCCAGTGGGGAGCAGGACAAGATTTTGAGAGGCTAGATGGGGAAACTAGGGCCTGCAGAGAGTCGAGGGCTCCCCCGAGACCACGCAGTAGGTCTGGGACAGGGCTGGGCCCAGGACCCAAGACCAGCACCACCACCCATTACCGGAAGAGGAAGAAACTGGGGTCCAGGGGGTTGTTCTCGATGGCACAGTTGATGCGTTTCAGCGCGTATCGCAGTTTGCCCTGAACAGCTAAGATCCCTGCCTCTTGCCGTGCCTCCTGGGCCTGGTCCACCATCTTCCTGAGCAGTGCCTTGGCCTTCGGGTGCGTGGGATCCAATAGCAGGGCTTTGTGCAGGTCTCGATAGCAGAGGCTGGGCTGCAGGGGCCCAGGGTGGCATTAGGGGCACAGGCCAAGTGAGGGGAGCCAGACCTCCAGGCCTGTAGGGGCCTATCTCTGTACAAACCAGCATCATGCCACCTATCCTCAGTGCCCCTGCCTTGTTCCATGTCTTGGAGGAGGCAGGGAGCATTGGGGGAAAATCCCATCACAGGCCCCATCCCTTCTTTCCAGATGTGACCTCAGGAGTCAGGTTAGCCTTGGTGGTGTCACCTGTCAAATGGGGTTGCAGGCGGTGTCTCCTTGGAGGCCTCCTAACTATGACTGTCATGTCCTCCCTGATTCAGCATACCCTCCACACCCCCTGACCTCATTTAAGCCCAAGACAACTCTGACCCAGAACAGATTCATGAGCAGACAACATCCTCAGGCAAATACCTTCCACTGAGTGAGCAGGTCAGTCAGTCAGTCAACAAACAGTTTTAGCAAGCAGCCCATGTCCTGCAGAGTAATGGGTTGGAGGGTGAGCAGGGCAGACAGTGTGGATACCAGGTATGAAAAGAAGTTAGGAGAGGACCATAGTGGAGACTGGGGCAGGGCTTTGGAATGGGTGGACTTGAATTCAAGGCACTCCTGAGAACTGGCTGTGTGACCTTGGGCAAGTTCCCCTGTTTCCTCTGTGAGAAGAGGACCATGGATGGTGTCTACCTCCAAGGGTTACTGAGAGCCTTAAAGATAAACATGAGTGAAGTGGCTAGCAGGTGCCTGTGCTTGGCAGGGGCTGAGGTAATGATAATTGTCGATAATTACTAGTCTCCAACCTTTGAGTGAGACTCTCCCACTGAATCATATGTGGGACACAGAAAACCAACGCTAAGACAGGCCACGTACTCAGCTGAGGTAAACCCAGCCCAAGGCCACCCACCCAGTGCCACCCACTCCGGTATGTCCCAGCTTCCTCACATGCAGGCCAAGATGGGGCTGAACCGCGGCCATTGCCCCGGCCTCCTGCCTCTCCCTCAGGCTCGCGCCCCATCTCTGGTCCTGACTTCCAAGGGGCTGTGGAATTTCCGGCTCCCAATCCTGTCACTCTTCCCACCCTCTCTCACCCCTCCCCAGTCTCTTCCTCAGCTCCCCACTGGCAGCCAGAAGGAACTTTCTAAAGCCCACTGCCCTGGGGCGCATCTTTTGAGGTTCCTGCTGCCCCCAGGAAGGAGTCAGAATCCTCTGGTGTCCATAGAACCCCACCCGATGCCCTTGCAGACCACAGCCCCTTCTCGCTCGTGACCCCCAGTCTCTTTTGCCCCTGAGGTGCTTCCTGTACTGCCTCAGGCAGCGTCTACTGGGGGTTCTTAGTAGATGTGGCAAATAGGGAAAGAAGAAAGGAGGAGAAGAGGAGGAGGAGAGGCTGGAGGTAGGGCCTCCTGGGTTTGCCCAGATGGTGGCTCCCGGGCGGGCTCAGCCCTTGTGCATTACCTGCTTAGGGACAGCGCCCCTGGGCTTGAACCCTGGGGGGGCGGGAATGGCACAGGTCTCTCACCTTGTGCTTTCTGGGCAGTTGAATGGTCAGGGCCTGCCAGGGGCGCTCCGCAGACCCATGCTGGGTTGCGATTCCTGGGCAGGCTGACGCGGCCTATAGGCATCCTGTAATCTGGGGTGTGCTGGGGGCAGGCAGGCTGCGGAGGACCACACCCTGCCCCACCCTCCCTGCTCTACCTTCTCGAAGTAGTTGTAGAGCCTGGCCCGCAGGATGTAGATGTCAGCATTGTTGGCGCTGCTCTTCACCTCCTTGTGGACGAGGACGAGGCACTCCTGGTGCCGGTTGAGGGCCAGCAGACAGGCCATGCTGAGGACAAGGGCAGAGGGCCTCCATCGGGCAGGGGACAGGGCGGGAGGGGTGCTGGGAGAGCCAGGACGGGCACCCACCATCGGTAGCGGAAGCAGGCTTTCTCGGGCTGGAGCTCAGAGGCCTGTGAGAAGACGCTGAGGGCGTCCATGAAGGCACACTGCTCGAACAGGCACTGGCCCTGGGGACAGAAGGGCAGTCACTTTGCGGGGTCCCACCCAGGAGCTCTTCCAGTGTGGGGGGCAACTTTGAGACAGAAGGGGGAGGAGACAAGAGATGAGGCCAGAAACATTTAGATCTAGGAGGGGTTTTCAGAGAAGAGGCAGTTACCCAGGCGGCAGAACTGGGGAGAGACCCAGAAATTCTGGCTGCTGAGGCTGTGCTTGGAGCCTGAACCTATCTCCCTGCTACTAGCTATATCCGCCTTTTAGATGAAGGTACTGAGGCTCAGAGAAGTGAAGTAACTTCTCCGAGATCACACAGGAAGGGGCAGAACGGGACGCATGCACCCAGTGGATAGACTAAGCATATGTTTTGGATGCCCTAAATGTTTCTTTTTTTAAAAAAATTAAATAATTATTGACACCAAGAGAAAAAAGACATTAAAGTTGTTCAAAATGGAAAAAAAAATCAGAACTTTGTTGGTATTTTATGGTTTAATATTGTTTTGAAGTTGAATTGCAAATGGGGGACACGCTTACCTTTTTAGTGTTTAGATTCTAGACCTGCACTGCCTAGTACAATAGCTACCAGCTTCACGTAGCTATACAAATTTAATTAAAATGAAATAGAATTGAAAAATTAGTGTCTAGGTCACACTTGCCACATTTCAAGGGCTATATAACCGTGGTTATCAGATTGGACAGTGCAAAGTAGACCACAGTTGTGATTCTAGAAAGTTCTATTGGACAATACTGTAAAATTTTACCCAGCCTTGGCATTAAGCCAACTTGGGAGGTGGGAGAAGGGCAGCGGGTGTAGACACCGGCATTGTTGGCTCTGCTCTTCACCTCCTTGCTGACAAGGGTGAGGCACTCCTGGTGCCAGTTGAGGGCCAGCAGACAGGCCATGCTGAGGACAAGGTCAGAGGGACAGGTGGGGACACAAGGGGGTCTCTAGGGAGACAGAGCTGATCCTAGGAGCAAAGACAGCCCCCTAAAGCTGGAAGGAGAGCCAGCAGGCCCAGGTATGAGGTGCATGCCTTATGTGGGCCCTGGGGCAGCCTAGTACCTGCAGGTAAAGCACCCAGGTGAGCCGCTCCAGGTATGCCGTGTTCTCTGGTTGGAAGGAGTGGGCCCTTCTCAGGTTCTGGGCGGCAGAGGAGAAGTCGCAGAGCTGGATGTAGGCTTCGGCTCGTAAGGCGTAGAAATCTATCTGAGAGTGAGAGGGTCCAGGCTGCTGTTTCCCCCCCACCTTCTGCCCCAAGGCTCGCCACTCAGTTACCAGCAGGAACTTGATGGCCCTGAGAGGAGGGGACTGGCAGGTGTGACAGTGAGGGGGAAGTGTGTGCCAGCCATGTCAGCGCCCGCCCAGACTCTCCCTCTCACCAGCCGGGAGTCCAGCTGAAGGGCCCGGGAGAAGAACAACACAGCCATCTCCCAGTCGCTTTGCTCCAAGCACTGCTGGCCACGGTGGTAGCTGCGGGGGCAGGGCACAGACAGAGGGCATTGGCCCTGATGTAGGACCAGCTCAGGGCATACAGCTAGGACGGGGGAGTGGGTTGTGGGGAGGGGCACTTGGGTGGGGAGACAGAGATCCAGGGAGAGCAGGCTGGCATTCTTGGAGCTCATCCAAGCCAGCAGCTTTTTATCTGCAGAGGTGGGAGAGCCCTGTTATACAGTTGAGTCCACTGACGTCCAGAGAGGGAGAGAAACGGGGTGAAGCTGCACGTCATGTCAACGGCCATGCAGGGGAGGAACCTGGGACACCGGGGTAAGGTAGCCACTCACTACTCCCTGACTTTGAGGGGCACTGTTAACCCCGTGATCTTTGGTTTTATAGTATCAAGGTTCTGGAACAGCTTGCTGGTCCCAAAGATGCACTCCAGGTTCCTCTCTGGCGCTGGAATTACCCATGGCTTTTTGATGTGGTGTGAGGGAGCCTGCTCAAGCTCCAGAGAATCCTAGAATGGAGGGACAGCGGGCTGGGGCAGGTCTCCGAAGTGACCCCCCACTCCACTTACACACTCACCTCATGTATTTTACAGGCAGAGAAGCCTGTGACACTCTCCTGCCCAGCAGGTCAAACTGACCATTCACCTGCCTCTGCCTAGGCTTCCCAGCGCCTCGAGTCCACCTTTCTGCCAGCCACCCACGCGAGACCTCGGTCCCCTCGGCCCTCCAGTCCTGTCTCTCAGACGCTCTCTCCTCCTCTCGTCTGGGCCCGCTCCAGCCGCCCCCCAGCCGTCCCACCGCCGCACGCCCCAAGCCCGCGGCTGTCTGAGCCGCAGCCGGGAATTCCCAGGATGGCCCCGGCGGTCCCGCCTCTCCGCGAGAAGAGCTTCGTGCCCCACCCCCGCGCGCGAGGCCCTCGCCCGCACCTCTCCGGAGTCTGTCATGAGACCCCCTTCCGGGAGGATCTCCGGGTCGTCGACGGCTCCCTGGCGCCCCCCACCCCTCGGGAGCCCCCAGCCCGGCGTTGCTAGGCACCCTCTCCAGGACGCTCGCAGGCCACGCCCCTGGCCACGCCCCCGGGTCGCGCTGCCGTCGGAGGAGGTTCGCCAACTTCTGTTAGCGGGGGACGCGCGCTCCGCGGCGGACGGACTTTCCGGGGTCCGCCTCACAGGGAAGCCGAAACGAGGGTCCCTCCCCCAAGCCCGAGGTCAAGCGAGGGCGCCGCCCGCCTCACGGCAAACTGCCCCGGGACGGCGCGACTCGTCGCTCGCGGAACGCGCGGGGGCGCCGGGCGCGGCCAATCCCCGCCACTTCCGCCCGCCCCGGATTGGACGCCGCCCGGGGGCCGGGACGGGGGCGGCCGCGATTGGGCGACGCCTGGATGACGTCGGGGGCGGGGCCCGGACGGCGAACGGGGCGACATGCCGCCGCCGGGCCTCTCGGGCGCGGGGCTGCGCCTCGGTCGGGCCATGAGCCGCGGCGTCCTGGAGCCCCGACCGCCGGGGAAGCGCTGGCTGGTGAGCGCGCGGGGCGGGCGGCGACGCGGGCCGGAGCTCAGCTCCAGCCCTGCCACCCCCCCGGGCGGCGCCCCCCGACCCCCGGCCCCGATCCCTCATCTCGGAGACGGGCCGGAGGCCGGACGGCCCAGGCTTCCCGGCCTGCCCGCCAGCGCGTGCCCCTTCGGCCGGGCCCCTGCTCCGCGCCCCGCCCTCGCTCTTGCCCCGCGGGGCGCGCCCCCTCCTCGGCGCCGGGTCTCGGGGCGCTGCGGGGCGGAGGGTGACGGCGGCGGCCGCGCCTCAGCTGCCCTGGTGCCTCCGCAGGTGGCCGGCCTGGGGAACCCCGGCCTGCCCGGCACGCGGCACAGCGTGGGCCTGGCGGTGCTGGGGCAGCTGGCGCGGCGGCTGGGCGTGGCGGGAAGCTGGGCGCGCGACCGCCGCTGCGCCGCCGACCTCGCCCTGGCCGCGCTCGGGGACGCCCAGCTGGTCCTGCTCCGCCCGCGGCGCCTCATGAACGCCAACGGGCTCAGCGTGGCCCGGGCCGGTGAGTGGAGGCGCGGGGCGGCCGGGGGCGCGCAGAGGCCGGGGCGGGGGTCCTGGGCGGCGGTCACCGCCGGTGCCTGTCGAGTTCCAGCGGCTGCGTGGCCCTCGGCACTTGTGGCGCCTGTTTATTCGCGGAGCTGGGAGCTGCTGCCCTCCTGCCGGGGCCTTGAGGGGGGGCAGCCCCCTTTGGGCAGATGGACGGTAACCAGGGCCACCCTTCCCTGTGCCAAGCGGAGCTGTTCGGGCTGACTGCCGAGGAGGTCTACCTGGTGCACGACGAGCTCGACAAGCCCCTGGGGAAACTGGCTTTGAAGCTGGGAGGAAGCGCCCGGTGAGGCCCTGGACTGGGCAGGGTGGGCGAGGGCAGTGGCCTCCCGGCTGGAGCGCGGTAAGGGTGCTGGCCCCAGTCTTGGCAGGGGAGAGGGCACGGCCTGGGCGGGGAGGGCTGGAAGGGCGCTGACCCCGGGAAGCGCTGACTTCTCGGCTTCCATGCAGAGGCCACAACGGAGTCCGCTCCTGCATCAGCTGCCTGAACTCCAGCGTGAGTCGCCCCTCTGTCCCGCAGTGGCCGGGGTGGGCCAGCAGGGGGCCCCCAGCACCCCTCACCAAGCCTCCCTGGGCCCCTCCGGCTCTCCCACAGGCGATGCCCAGGCTCCGGGTGGGCATTGGGCGCCCGGCATGCCCCGAGGCGGTGCAGGCCCACGTGCTGGGCCTCTTCTCCCCCGCGGAGCAGGAGCTGCTGCCACCGCTGCTGGAGCGGGCCGCCGACCTGCTCCTGGACCACATCCGCGAGCGAAGCCAGAGTCCCGCCGCCGGCCCCTGACCCCCGAGCGCCCTGCGCACACACCCAGCCACGGCTCCACATCCGCAGAGGTGCCACGCCGACCTGTGGGATCCACTCTTTATATAACTCTACCTCCGGGCTGCCCCTGGCTGCCCACAGATTAAAGGGGGGCTGTGGCCAGAACTGGCCCATTTCCAAGATAGGGAGCTGGTCTTCTTTCTGTGTCCTACTTAGAAAGTAGGGAAACTGGAGGAAGGCTAAACTTCTTGAATTTTTTTGGAGCATCAGAGCTGTGCACCTGTAAGGTTAAAGATGCAAACTGGGAAGGGGAGGCCTTCTTGGGGGTTTGCACCCTCCCCAGCCTGTAGAGGGGGGTCATCGGAGCCCAGCAAGCCCATCCCAGGGGATGTGTGAGCTTGCCTTGACCCCCAGAGGCCTGTTCTTCCATCCATCTTGCAGATGGCAAAGGGGGGTTTCGAGAGGTCTAACCACACCCCCGGGGCCTCGCAGCTCCGTGGGGGCAGAGCCTTGCTATCCCCAGGGCTGACCGCTGTCTTGCTGTCCCTGGGGGTGCTGGCACCCTCACCGCGGGGCTGCTGTTTGTCCGGAATGTTCTCATGCGTGTGGTGTGTGAGAGCCGCCTGAGGTCCTCAGGGTTGGGTGAGATCATGACCCGTCGAAGCGCCAGGTCCTTGGGCTTGTCGGGGGTGACCATGGACTGTTGCTGCGCCGGAGACCCCATCAAGGAGAACAGGGCTGCGGAGCTGCTGTGGGCAGGGGGCTGATCTCACCACCTCCACCGCTTGGAGGTGGAGGCTGAGGTTCAGAGAGGCCGGGGGGCCCTGACTTCTGACTTGGCTCAGCTGAGGGCAGCCCTGGGGCCAGTCCTGTAGCTGCCCCCTCTGAGGTCACGCAGGGCCACTCACCTCTCCTGGCACGGGTCACAGTACTGACTCTCCTCGCTGGGCGCGAGAGCCATCGAGGGGCTCAAGGCGGTGGCCGAGCGGAGCATGGCCAGCAGCTGCTGCAGCATCTCCTTGCACTGCAGCTGGAACACCAGGCCCACGTCGTCGTCGTCCTCGTCACTGGGCTGCATCTGCCAGTAGGGGCGGGGTGGGCCCGGTGTGGGGATCAGGCCCCTCTGGGAAACTGTGCCCGGTACTGTCTCTTTGTAGTGCTGCCTGGCTGTGGTGGGATACCCATTCTCCAAATGTGGAGGTGAAGGCTTGAGGCCTTCTGGGGCCCAGAGAAGGAGTCCAGCTCCTCCGAGGCCTTGAAGAGATCTCGGATGTCCAGAGCCAGAAAAGGACAGACTTAACAGGAGTCTCTCAGGGGAGAGCCGGGGCCTCTGGCCCTGGCCTGGCCTTGCCAGGTGGCCTGGTTATCTCCAAGCGGCGTCTGACTCGGCCTGTCCCCTGCTCTCCCCCCCTTCCAGTTCACCTGTAGAATGTGATGAAGGAAGGCGGTGCTGTGGACCAGGGCCGTCTCCAGGCCTGCCCGTGCCTTCTGCTCTCTGGTCAGCTTGTGCTGTAGCCGCTGCGCCTTGGTCTGCTGCCGCTTCAGCAGCAGGTTCAGCTGGTCTTTCTGGCTCCTGAGCTCAGGAGCAGGAGGAGTCAGCCCACGGCCTCCATATGACAATAGTGCCTCAGCCCCTCCGGAGGGGTTGGTAGCTGTGGTGGCCAGAAAGGGCTGGTCTCCAACTTGCCCCTGCCTCTCCCCCAGCCCCCCGGGGCCGCACCTCAGCTCCTGGTTGTCCTTCTGTAGCTGCTGGAGGCGCTGCTCCTGCTGGCTCAGCAGGAGGCACAGGCGCTGGGCCTCTGCTGTGTTTACCTGCTGCTCTTTGCACTTCTCAGTCAGCATGAGGATGATCTGCAGGTGTGGGCAGGTGTGACCTGGACCCACCATGGGCCCTTGACTAGCCTTGCCACCCCAGCTCCAGACCCAGTCAGGGCTCACCCCATTACATCCCATTCTATAGAGAAGCCCACCAGGCCCAGGAGAGGGGGCAGCACTCCAACAACTTATGGGGCTTTAACTCAAGTATGGCAGAACCAGAGCTGGGGTCAGCACCCTGCAGTCCCCACCAGGAGGGCCTTGCCCCCTATTCCACCTCTCTCTCCCCACTGGGCTCCAGCCCTGCGTCACCCCAGCCAGGGTGTCTGCCCCGGGCGCAGGGTCCCTAAGGTTTCCGGGCCTGGTGGTCACACCTTCTGGTGGCCTCTGAGGTGCCTGGCCATGGCCTTCTCTGAGCTCTCCAGTAGCTCCAGCTGTTTGCACAGCTGGTCCTGGCTACCCTTAAGACTCTCGTTCTCCTGCAGCAGCTGCACGCCGTGCTGCGAGATCTTGGACAGCTGCAGGGTCATGGTGTTGTTCTCCGTGATGGCCCGCCTGGTTGTCTCCCACATCTGGCTCGTAGCCACCTTGCGGAACTCAGTGGCCACCAGGTTCACACGCTGGATGATCTCCTTCCTCAGTCTGGGTGGGAGCAAGGGAAGGTCCAGCAGAGTGGGCGCAGGCCTCCACCAGCCCTCGCCTACGTGAGGGTCCCCGAGGGTCACCCCCAGGAGGGGTGGGGCTACTGGCAGGAGGCTTTTTATTGTACACACTACCTTTGGGATTTTGAGCCATACCAATGTATTCTTGCAAATAAATCTAATTTATATCACCAAAAGTGGCTAGAGGAATTCCAGGGATTCTCCAGCTCCTGCAAGAGGACTGGCGTTGGGAGCTTAGTTATTCCCTCCCGCCCACCATCACCTGCCAGGATTCTGCCAAGCAGTGGCTGGGGGGATCCGTGAGCTAGTGTGGTTGCCCTGATGAGGAGCCGAGGCCAGCAAAGGCCTGAGGCCTGGACTGTGCCCAGCTCTGTGGGTAAAGGCCCCAAAGGCCCCAGCCCGGCTCGCCCACCTGTCCTTGTCCAGCACCGACTTCTTCTCCAGGTTGTATATATAGTCCTTGTGTTCGGTCTCCTGCTTACGCAGGTGCTCCTCCAGGGTCGTGAACTTGTCGGACAGCTCCTCTTTCTGCAGCCGGAACTCCTCCAGGGCGGCCAGCTTCCCACCTGCCCCACCGCAGGACACAGGCCTGGTGAGCGGCCACCTCAGGAGCTGCTGGCTCTTCCACTGAGGGCCTTGAATGATGTCCCTCCCTCTCCACTTCCTCCACCTCTGTCTCTCAGTTGGGCCGGACCCTTCCTGACACTTCCATACCCGGTCCTGCCTGCCTTCACTGCCTTAGCTAGGAACACGCTCCTCCTCCACCAGTCTACAAAGCCTTGTTCAGGTACCACCTCCTCCAAGAAGCCTCCCTGTCATGGAAATGATTGCCAGTGGAGTCGAACACCCCAGGGCCAGGCACTCTCGCTGTCACGGGGCCTCACAACAACCCCTCCCGGCTGGGTGACCCTGGGCAAGGCACTTCCATCGACAGACGGGGGCGACAGTATCTCCTGCCTCGCGGGCTTGTGGGAGCAATTATGGAACAACTGGTGTGGGATGCAACATGGAGTGGTTGTTACTCCCCATTTCCCAGGTGAAGGTCAGAGAGAAGTGCCGGCTCAGGGTCGCAAAGAGTCAGGGGTGAGGAAGGACTTGAACCTGGAGAGCCTTGGCCTCCCGGCCCCGTGGCGCACGCCCCGCTCTCGTCTGCCATTTCCTCACCCAGGACGATGTTCTCCGCGGTGAGCTGGTCCTTGGTCTCCTGGAACTCGTGGCGCACCTGGGCCAGCTGTGCCTCGAAGGCGTCCTTCTCCAGCTCCTTGGCCAGCTGCAGGTTTTGGAGCTGCTCGTTGAGGTCGGTGATCTCGTCCACCCGCTGGTTGAGCGTGCGCTTGAGGAAGGCCACGATCTCCTTCTTGTTGGTGGCCAGCTGCTCAAACTCCTGGCGGAAGAGCTTCTCCTGCACGGCCAGTTCGTCCCACTTCAGCTGGTACCTGAGGCAGGGGCGGGGCGAGGCCCACAGGCCCCAGGAGAGGGGCTGAGCAAGCCAAAGCTCCCTGCACCATGAGGCCAGCTCTCCTGGACCCCCACCTTGGCCAGTCAAGGGCCCTCCCAGTGAAATCCAACCTTATCTCCACTGTGCCCTCCTCATGCTCACGACCTCGGGCCAGTGCCCGAGCTTCGCATCCCCACCTCACTACAATGCCAGCTCCCGAGGCGTCCACAGCCATGTCCCCAGTACCTAGTACCGTGAGTCCTTGCAGGAACCTCACAGCTTGTAAGGAGTCGGGGCTATGACGGCTATACCCATTTTACAGATGACAAAAGAGCTCGAGGATAAACTTGTAAGTGGCCAAACCAGAACTTGAACCCAAGTCAGTGTGACCCCCAAAGTCTAGGCGCCTCCTGGCACCCTTATCCCTGCCCTGTGCCCTCCCTGATGCTCTGTGCAGCGGAATTCCGAGCCTTTGCCCCGCCACCTTCCATCCCCTGGTGCGCTCTCAGGGGGCCCGAGCCACCCCCCTCCCTGCCTTCCTGTGGCTGCCCCTCGTCCCACTGCACAGTTGGCTCCTGATGTCCTTCTGCTTCGCTTGGTGAGTCCTTGACCTCCCCCACCTCTGTATTTTTGGGGCCTCGCACAGGGACTTGACAAAGAGTCACCCCAGTAATTGTCCCAAATTCACGCCATGCGGTGTCCCAACTTGAGGGAAGTCTGAGTTTTAGGGGCAGCACATGATAATGCACTGGCCACGGCCTCTGGACCGCTCGCGCCACGCTGTGGGGAGCGGAGCTGAGGGACCCGCTCAGTGGGGCAGGAAGCAGCCTGGAGGAGGGGAGCAGGGGCCAGGGCTCCATCCTGGTGCCTCTTCTTGCTGAGGGTGACCTCCCCTCCCTGCGCCTCGTTCACCCTCTTGCACACTGGGGGCCTCTGGGCCTAGTTCAGGACACAGTGAGCCCCGCACAGGGCCCCCGGCAACGCAGCAAGTCAACATGGCCGTGACTGCACCGCCATCTGGGGAGGAACTGCTTGGACTCAGCACCAAAGGGGTTCTTTTAAGGGGCCAGTCATCCCCCCAGAGACGGGGCTGGGGTATCACAACCGGAAGGAAACTACTTTTAAAGTAAGAAAAATGACAAGTGAATGTTTCTGAAGAGTTACACCCCCCTCTCCTCCTCCCACACCCTGTGCATCCCATATGGCCATGGAGGGGGAAATCCTCACTTAATTTGGAGAAACTGAGGCTCAGCATGGGCAACCAGGCTCTGGGTCGAGTCAGGAGGGGGCACAGCACAGGGAATCGGGCACGGTGGTCCAGGGTAGGGTGGGTGGAAGGAGGGAGACGTGGACCCCCTGCCTGCTGGGGCTGCCACGTCTAATGCATCCCACTGAAATCTGTCCTTTTATAAAACATGATGCTGTGGAGCAGGAGTGGGGGGGGGAGGGACATTAGTTAGCACTGCACCCCAGGACCTGGAGGGCCAAGATGGGGTGGGAAATCTATTTTCCCTCCAAATCTCTAAACTTCCCAATATTATCTATAGGGAAACCGAGGCTTGGTGGGGTGGGATGGGGTCTGGACATCCCAGGGGAGGCCTAAGCAGGTCCTCAGGACATCCCCGGGGAGGTCCTCAGCCTAGGACCTCCTGGCTGAGTCTGCATAGCGAGTGGCCAACTCTCTGCTCCTGACCCAGCAGAAGCAGCCTCCCTACCCACCCACCGGGCCAGCCTGTCCTCCAGGTCTCGGATCTGGATGTGGTAGAACTCCCGCGTCTCCTTGCTTAAGGGCATTTCCATGGGCGTGATGGAATCCTTCTTGCCCCCTTTCTTCTTCCTGACCTCACGATCCTTAGCCCCCTTGTTTGCCTTCTTTTTAGGAGCCATGGCTGCTGGCAGCCTCAGCTCAGGCCCCTTTAAGAGGCCAGGTGGTTGCTAAGGAGGTTGGTCCCATACATAGCAACAAACTGAGGAGTGAGGCCCGGCTTAAAGGGCCCTGACCACTGCCTGGCCAGGCTGGGCATCCTGACCCGCGGCCTCACCCTTCAGGACTGATAGCTCCAGCGGCCCCAGGCTCAGACACCACTGACCGTGGCCCTGCAGAGACCTGACACCAGGCTCTCAGTGCACTCTGGTCTTTGCAGAGACCCCTCCTTCCTCAAAATAAGTGATATGGGAATATGAGTGGGTCGGAGCCTGCAGTCGCCATCAGTAGGGGGACTTCCCAAGAGGGACCCCAACTCCAGGAGACCAGAGGCAGCCTGTCAGTCACCTGCCCTGACGGCCCCCCTCCCCCAAGGAGCCCCTCTCTGGAGGTTCTGAGACCACCTTGTTAATTCTTTGGTGATGCAGCTGCACAGCTGTCACTCCTAGGCTCACTGGACACAAGTGACAGCAAGGGAGACATGGCGCCTTCCACCCACCACACTTACCTATTTTATGTTAATCACTGACGTCCTTTTCAGCCACTGAATCATTCATTTTTGTGACTGGGGAGATGAAGCGACAGAATAACAACATCCTTTCCTCAAGGGCAGTTACTATGCCGGCCTTAGTATCTGCCTTTCTCATGTACATTTTGAACACATTTACAACCTTAAGTAGCCACGGAATTAGGGCCGTTATGAAATTTTAAAACTGCATAAATGCATCATTCTGTACGGTGCCATCACGTGCTCTTTCCCGTGCTGTCTGAGAGTTAGCTGCTGATACAGATATAGTACCAGTAGGTCACGCCTTTTAAACTCGTCACTGGTGACTGTACAGCAGTTCACCCATTCTCCAATTGCTGGACACTGGGGTTTTAGGGTACATGGACATGCTTTTTCACGCCCCAGACTTGGTGGTGGGCCATCTCCTCACCATCAATGTGGCGCTCAGTGCTTATCCGGGGCCGGCTCAGCACTGCTCCCCCTCGGGCGTCACAGGAGGGGACGAAGGCCCTGGCCAAGGACATGTGGATTCACGGTTCATCTGAGGCTGCTGATGCTGACATCTGGGCTCCTGCTCTGCCTCCTAGGAGCAAATGCCCAAGGTGGGTGGACAGTCCCCTCAGAGGGGTCTGGCTGAGTACCCTGCCCTGGACCGGGGTCCCTGGAAAGGCAGTAAGTGACCAGCTGCAGCCCACAGATCTAATCTGGGCTTAAGGATTGCTCTCCCCCTGATTCAGCGTGACCTGCTTTGATTGGCTCAGCACCTCCACCCCTGCAAGAATATCGAACCAGGACATCAGCCACTTCTTGAGGAACCGTCTACAGGCTCTCTCTGTGCTGAGTAAGAGAGGACGGGAACTTCGGACAGGGGCACAGCAGGGCCAGGCTTGTTGTCACTGCTGGTGGCGGGGGGTGGAATAGAGAGAAGCGCTGGAGACCCTGGACCAAAGGATCCAGAAACCACCAGGTGCGGGCCAGCGAGTCACCTCTGCCAGCCCAGGGAGGAGGAGCACATCCACGCTAATGCAAACTCAGTTCAGAATTGAGAATTGAAGAACTTTGACCTTGGATCTCGTTTCAAGGCCTTCTGGTCACTGGTGGGGCCATCGCTGATGAAAGACAGAGTGTCTGGTGCTCCCCAGTAGGGGCGCTTCATGAGTGACCACACCTCTCTGAGCCTCATCCATAAAATGGCGAGACCAGGTATGTGGGACTGAGCGGGGCCCAATAAACGGTCCACTGTCATCATTACCCCCATGAGGGAAGACTCATCCGACAACAGCTGGGTGGTGGGGGTACAGCCCTCTGAGTTGTCACCAACGGGCCCTGAGTTGTCAGCTTCTGGCCAGAACGGATGGAGATTTGAACGTGAGAGTGTCAGGGACAAGAGTAGAAGCCGAGGCTCATACAAAGAACCCCACTCCCCTCTGTGCAGCCTTCAAGGACGTTTCGAGGGTGACCCCAGCCCTAACTTAAGCCCAACCTGGACCAATTCATTGTGGTCCCCCTGGGTCAGCAGCAGGTGTTACCAGGAGCAGGACACAGGACCTCATCATGCCCTGAATACACTGGAGTGGGTGCATCTGCACGGACAGCCCTGCCCTGAGACAGATGCTGGAGGGCAGAGAAGGGCAGTGGGGGAACTCAGGCAGGCGCTGTTGCCGCGAGGTGGCCCAGACCAGCACCGCGGACGGGCCCCGGGCTCGAGGCAACACAGGTCCTCGCGCAGGTAACCGAGACCTGGGCACGGGCGATGCTGACCGCAGCCAGCCAGGCCCCCTGCAGGCCCGGCGCCGCAGAGCGGGAGTCACCCCGACACCGAGTGGGCGCGGATTGACTTATTTATTAGACTCGAGTGCTTTAGTACAGAACGGTACAGATGATACATGTTTGTGCTTCAATACTTCCAAACACGGAGATTCTGATCATTTCAAGGTAAACAAGTTTCAAGACAGACTAGCTTTTTTAAAATATCCTTTTGATAAATTATCTTTATATAAATAACAGAGAAAGGAAAACCGACATGTCCGACAAACACGGAAGGCCCTGAAGCGTGAGCATCGAGGGACAAAAGCAGCGGTCGACAGTGAGGGGCGGACGGATGCAGGGACCTACGGTGCTGTCCTAAGGAATGAGATCTGGGGGCGGGGGCAGGAGGGGGACAGAAGAGACCTGGAAACTCATCTGAGTGCAAAGGGGAGGAGTCAAGGCCTGGAGGAGAGAAACCGCGGGTGCCGGACGGGGCGGGTCTGCAAGGAAAGCGGGCGCTGAACTAGCACACACCACGTTTGCCACGACGTCACGAGACAGAATATAGAGGGCGGCGGGGGGGTGGGGGGGCTGGGGACATTTTTGTGACTTCCACTGTCATTATATTTCACGACAACAGCAGCAGAACAGATGGCGCGCGCGCAGCCGGAGAACGAGGAGCCGCTGGGTCTGGAGGGTGGCGGGACATCCTTCCTGCGCTTGCTTGTAATGTTGGCTTTAGAGCTAAGAGTTTATACAGCTAAGTCTTTATACAGAGAAGAAAAGGCTGGTTTTCTCTTACAAGCACGACACATGACCCCACACGAAAGAAAGGAGAACGAAGCATCTTAAACTGAGGACCATCCCGGCGGGTGCAGGGGTGAGCCCGGCGGGCTGCTCGCGGGGGGTGCCGAGGTCCAGGGACGAGGACCCTCCAAGCAAGAGCCTCTAGAGCCCAGCATGTTCCAGCCCAAGCCTGACCGCTGAGCTCGCCCCAGGCTGACCCCCCCGCCAAGAAAAGGAGCTTGGCTGGTGGCGAGGCCCAGGGCTTCTCTCACTGCACCCCCAGGAGACAGTGCCCCTGTGGCTCCTGCTCTTCGCTGTCTGGGTGCGGTGATGTGGCCGGACGACAGCTCGTGCCCACAGCCGGGCGGGGGAGAGGCGGTGCCAGGAGAGGATGCAGCCGGCACCCAGCCACCTTCCTGTGGGCCCCCCGGCCCCCACCCCCAGCCTGGCTCAGGCACAGGCGCCACTGCAGAAAGCCAAGAGGTCGGGCCCAGCTCACACCTCACGAGATGTCGCCTGGTCTCACTGCCAAGTTCACCCGGGGGCGTCAGGCACGCGGGGTGGGAGCTGGAGCGGAGGGGAGGGATCGGTCCTCAGTTTGAAATGCTCCCAGAACGAACACCTGCCCCTGACAGAACGGGGACAGCCTAAACAGGATACTAGAGACACGCAAACGTCTACCTTCCCACACTCAAGCAACGTGCGCGTGGCACCGGGCTATGTACAAGGTCGCGGCTGACGGAGGAGAGGCCGTTCACGCAGCAGTTCCAGACCCTCCCCAGCAGCCGTCACGGACACAGGGACGTCTCCTCTTAGGATACATACAGAAGATGCTCTTTAAAAAAAACACAATGCATTATTTTCTTTTGCTTCAAACGAGAAGAGGGCATCACTGAACACGGGAAGGCGGCGGTGCCGGTGCCGGCCAGGGCGTGCAGAGCGGGGACGGGTCGGCAAAGTAACCGAGGCGGCAGCGGGGGGCCGCAGAGCACTGTGGGGGAGGGCTTGGGGTTCGGAGGGGTGGCTTATTTGTTTTAACTGCTTATTTCTTCATCTGTTTTATTCAGTTTCTTCAGCGTGTCCAGCAGTTTCTGTGGGGTGAGAATGTGCGTGGATCCTGGGGGAGGCAGAAAAGGCAGTGAGTTTGCTGGTTCTGGTTTCAAGCACTTTTTCCTTTCCTGCTTCTGGATTCCCAGACCTGCATCTGTTCCCCACCCCCACCCCAGGCTTGGTCAGTGGGACCAGGGAGGGGCTTGGGGTTGGGGTTTGAGGCCGTGTGACAATAGGCCTGGGAGACACTTGGGGTCTGTGGGCAAACAGACGTGTGATGGGCTCGGGCAGGGACGCAGGATGAACCAAGGATGAGGCCGCCTCTCCATCGGGGCTCGGTGCCACCTGCTAGGGGACAGGGCGGCTGCGTTTCTAATTCTCTCTTGAAGTCAGGGTGAAGCCAGGGAGAGAAACTCCATTAACATGGCGGGGGGAGTCGGGGATGGGACAGGGGTTTGCTGGCAGACCACGCGTGGGAAGAACGAGCCTGCAGGGAGGAAGGTGACAGGCCGAGCACAGGGCGGGGAGCCACTGACCTCTGGGAGCCAGCTGGCGGGTGCTGCCGTGGTGGGCGGGACCTCAGGCGTGAGGGGGAGAGGGCCGGGGGACCTGAGGCCTTACCTTGCAGAGAGCGCGCATTTGTAAGAGATTAGAAATGCTTGCCAAAATTTAAGCTAATGGAATTAGATACACTTCTACTGCAAAAATAAAAAAATAAAAAAATAAAAGTAAATGAAGTCCTTTTCCGTAAGGAGAGAGAGAGAGCTAACAAGTGCAGTGACGAAAGATGCATGGATCGTGGGGCCGGGACATGGACATGGACTGACTCCAACACAAGAGCGGGGTGGGCAGGAGCCCCGCGCGCATGCAGCGGTGCGGGCAAAGAAAGAAGGGGCCTGGTGGGAGAACTGAACAAAAGGTCCGGACTTGAAAATGTGCCTCCCTGGAAGTGTGGGCAAGGGAGGGGCCTGGGGGCAGCAGAGCAGGGGGAGCCCCGGGCCAGATTTCCACCCCGAGGGCAAGTGAAGGCCTTGACCGTGATTCCGAACACCGGGGTCCCTGTGCTGCTGACCGCTACTGGCTCAGCGACCTCTGACCGCCGGAGCTACGGGCCTCGTGCTGGGGCTTTCACGTTGGCCTTTTCGGCTGGTCAGTGCAGACCAGCAGAAAATGCGTAGGGCCCTCTCCAGAGGGAGGGGCTCCCGGTTCTGCCCCCGCCACCAGCTCGCTGCTCTGAGGAGCCCGTCCTTGGCTACTTCCCATCCAGACTTCCCAGAGGCACCGAGCGCAGCCTGCACCTGTCCTGCATGCTGAAGCTGACTCATTATTCCACAGACCCGGGGTTCCTCCAGCAAATGCAACAGCGGTTTCAGCAGCGCGCCCGTCCTAGTTTTTATAGCACCCTCTTCCTGGGAGCACACTGGTCTCTGTGGCCTTACCGATCGCCTACTAGGCCTAGAGCTCTTTACAGATGGGCAGGCAGGACATGGACATCGCCAAATCCCCAACAGTGAGCCACTCCTGGAGCAGGAGCCTTCCTTCCAGACTCAGCGGGACAGTGTGTGCAACCCCGAAGGCAGCCTTGGGCTCTCCATGCAGGGTTAGCCTCCTAGGTGATGGTGGCAGCAGGGGCACGGGCCAGGGGACCCTGCCCTCCTCCCACCATCCACCGGTTGCAGGGAAGAGGAGGGCAGACTCGATTTAGAGGAGACATCAAGGGTGTTCACTGGTCACCTGAATTTGGAAATCAGGAGAGTTCTTAGGGACTGGCTGGCCTAGTCCCTCCTGGATTTGGCTGAAATGCACCTACTGACTGAGACGATCTGGGGTGGCCCCGGGGCACATGTGTGTTTAACGGGAGAGACTGATGAGCAGCCAGGTCTGTACAACAGGCTTGGCCCAGCCCTCAGGCTGCAGATGGGCGATGAGGCCGGCATGGAGTGCACCCTCCCAGGGGGTGCCAGCTGCCAGAAACCCGGGCCTCAGTTTCTCTAGGCACCCTCGTGGCCTCCAGGCTACTGGGTTGGCCCTGAATTCGGATTCAAATCTGAGTCCCGCTGAAACAGGAAACTTGTCCAGCCCCCATGTAGAATAAAGCAAAATATCAAAAATAAAAAGCCCCCAATTCTCTCCCTTGTGCTAAGTACTGTGAAGTCCAGCCTGTAAACCCTTTTTCATTAGCTTCTACTGGCCTCTTGGAGATTCCCTAATGATTAGTAATCTTAACATAAACCTCCCAGAGCACTGAGGTGAAAATCTAACCAGAAGATTCCATTTCCTAGACGATTTCGAGGTGAGGCTGATGAAAGGGTCTGCGAGAAGGCCTGGTGGTATCGTGCACCTCAGCTATCCACGCCCACCCCCTTTAACCTGGGCCAGGAGCTGCTGCAGCCAAGAGGGCAAGAGGCCAAGAGGGTGGAGGACCGAGGCCTGGCACCGCGCGGGGCCTGCTGGGGGCACGCACTGCAGAGTGGGAAAGCCTCACTTCTCTAAGAAGCCAAGTTAGAGCAAATCTGGGCATGGGGGGGGGGCAGGGGGAGATCCTGGCTCCGATGTCCAGTCTCTGTCACCTGGATGATCATGACAGAGGGGCCGAGTCAGGTTAGCCTGCTTTCAGCATCCCGGTGTACGAGGTGCTGCACTTTCCCTCACCTGACCTGTGGAACCCCACTCTGCCCTACCAGTCATCTCAGAGCTCAGAAAGTGCACCCCGAGTCTAGCTGAGCTCCCAGCTCTGAGGGCAGCTGAGATCCTCTCAGCTGATTGAGTATAAAGCAAAGGTAAACCATCCGAGGAGGAGGAGCTGATTCTGAAGTGGGGAACCCCAGGACGCATCCTAGCAGGAGCCCCTGGAGCCTGGGTTTGTGGATTCTTTTAGACCCTGCAAGGGGCCTGCCATTGCCACAGCCTCACCTAACATGTGTCCTTCTAGAAGTCTTAAAATACATCTTATAGAAAATGCTGTCCACCTGCACAAGACCAGAGGTCTCTGATCACCAGACTTCCGGGGTGCTGGGAAACAATGATTGCTTTTAAACAACACTTTCATCCACCACCACTGGCTGTCGAGGGGCCAGCGCCGCCTTCCTGCATCACTTGCTGCTTCTTGCCCTGAAAGGAGAAGGCAGTGCCCCTGCCAGGGGAGTGAGGAGGCAAACAGCTGGGTCCTCCTGGGATGGAGCACCTGCCCTTTATACAAACTAGCTTGCCTCTCCGCCTCTGGCCAGGTGCCCAGGAGGTGGCGACGCAGGTGGGACGGCAGGGTCTGCATCGCCTGTCTGAGTTAATGAGTGACAGACTGTCAGAATGCAGGGGGCCAAGGGGCCCTGCAGTCTTTTCTGCATTCTGTGGCCCCCGTAAGTGAATGACCTCTGAGAGCCACTCAGGCGCCCAAGGCAGAGCTGGGGCTGGAGTCCAGGTCTCGCTCCTGCTCACAGGTGACTCACAATCGGTGACGCTTCGGGCCACGTCAACCCCCGGGAGGGAAGGTGCATTTTCAGGGCCCATCATCAGTGGAATGCAGGACATCAGGTGCAAGTAACTCAGCCTCGTCACAGAATGCCTGACGAAGATGCGGGGTGATTAATGCCACATTGGGGCTCTTCAGGGCCAGCCAGCCATACAAACATGTTGCAGGAGGCTCCCGGCACACGTGAAGGATGGAGAGAGGGAGGGGGAACGAGGACAACAGTGCGTCGCTCACTAGGTAAAGGCACGGCCTGGTGGAGGCAGACACTCCTACAGCGCAGCGCACAGTGGGTCTCACCGGGAGACCTGGGTGGGCGCCCGGGGAACTCAGCCCTTGAAAGAATCCCCGGGACCATGAAAACGAGAGCAAACACTCCTAAGTGCCGTCCTCCCAGGAGGAAGGTGAGGCTTCTGACCCTGCCACCCCCCAGAAGTCATTCCTCGGACAGCGTCTGTCACAGGAGAGAGGCCTTTCACGTCCCGCTGCCATGGACTCGGCGTCTGCCCTCTGCTCCCTGCCCCCTTCCTCACCACCAGGCCAAATGGGCCTCTCCCTGGAGTCCAGCCTCCCTGGCGTGATGGCCCCTGCACGTGCTGGCCTCCCTGCCAAGCTCCCACACCAGGCCACCACCAGGACTCAGACCACACCACTGCTGCCGGCCAGTAGGCTGGGGCGCCGGGCCTCGGCCCCCCTCAACTCCCAGCTCCCCGGGGACTGCTCGTAGCAGGTATCGTTTTCAGCCTGAAACACAGGGGTGCAGCTGTCTGCCAGGGCTCGGGGGGCCGGCCAGCGGCCCAGGCCCTCACGGCAGGTTGGTGAAGGTGGCAGCGGACACATTTTCAATCGGTGTTAAGAACTGCAAGCATTTTCTCATTAAAAGAAAATCAAATAAATAATAAACTAAAAAGGGAAAAAGAAAGAAAAAGAGTGACGGAATAATCAAAGAAAACCCTTCAGAGTGGAAGAGTTTCTTTTCTGTAATAAGCTGCTTTTACTTTGTTTCTTTGGCTCTCACTCCATTGTTGGAGCCTGATCCTCAAAAGATACCCTAGAGGACTCCCTGAAGTCGGGGTGTCTCAGGTCCATGAGAAATTTGGTGGGAGTAAGAATATGAGTAGAACCTGCGGGAGAACAGAGGCCAGCTGACTGCTTGAACAAAGGAACGTCACGGAACATGCCAACTTAGGTCTACATGTCACGCAGCCACGACACGAGGGAGCGGAGGCCACACGCTGGCCCGGCAGCAGCATGCAGGATGCGGTGGAGCCACCCAGCAGACGGCGGCTGTCTGCGCCAGGCCTCTCAGGGATCCCTGTGGGCAACCCCCTGACTCCCCCAGGTTCCCACCTTCCAGGCGAAGGTGAAGGGGCATGGACACCGGGCCTGGCTGGGACAGCTGCTGTCCAGCTGCTGTGCGTGAGCTGACAATCACCCAACACACTCATGCAACACACAGCAAGCAGGGAACAGAGAGCTCTGTCACGGGCCTCCACAAAGGGGAAATACACCAGGGGGACATGGTGACCCGGCAGGGGAGGCTGTCCAGGACTAACCCCGCTGTATAGTGGGATCTGGTAGCAGGGCTGACAGTGCCAGGCCCATCTTGGCCCACCCAGCAATGGCCACATGGACTGGTGTGCAGAACCTGCTCACTCTGAGAGCTTGGGGAGGGTCACCCCAAATTAGAGTAAAAGTGACATCTCACTGAGAGAAGGGGAAGGGCAGGGCCGTGTATACTGACAGCCTCTGGCCAATCAATGTCAAGGAACACCAGGCAGGTGCAAGTCCGCTTTGTTGGTGGCAAGAGGGGACGAGGGAGAAGGCATCGGAGAACATAAGCTTTTCTCAGCTCGCTCCCCCCCCTCAGCCCGGAACACCGGGGACACTCCTGCGGGCATGTAAATGAGAAAAATCTGCTGCTGCATTAAGTCAGCGCTTACAAGCTGCGTCCTTTCTTCTGGAAAAATCAACACGAGAACCAGAAAGGACGGGTCTAAGAAGTGGCTGGGGGGACTCTTGTCCCCGCCCCGGGTCCCCTTGTGGGGTCCAGCAATTTCTGCTTGCATGCCACGCGCGTTCCCTCTCCTTGGCAGTCAAGGAGGGGTAGATACCTGTCTTCCACACACTGACCAGTTCCACCCCAGGCCAGCTCAAGGCTGCTTGGGGTGTTAACCCCCCTCTGAGTGGGAGGAAAGGCTCTTGCTCCAGTGACTGTGGGCAGTGGCGGGGTGGGGACGTGAGCCTGCGCTGGCGGACACTGTGGTGAGCAGCTGCCTCCCGCAGGAGACACAGCAGACAGACATGCGAAGGAGACCTTCGCCCCTTGGCTCTGCCACCCACTGAGTCTTGCAGGAGCGATGCCAAGTTGAAGACAGACGGCAACACCAAAGCGTGGGATGGAGTCAAAGCGCCTGGAAGCAGCCCCACCCGCAGCGAACACGCCCCACTCACCTATGAGCACTTCCCACTTCCCGTTGGCCTGGGTCACCTCGTAGGCACACCGCATCTCGTTCAGGCTCACGCCCCCCAGGATGAATATAATGAGGCGGGGGCCACTGCGGTACTCCCCAGGGGCCTTATTCTTATGCCAGTGCCCGTAGCGGGCGCTGGGAGGGGAAGAGAGAGAGATTAATTATGTTCATCTGCACGGACAGGAGTTACACTTCATACCCAATGCCTGGTTTACACGCTAGTTCTGTACACAAGGCAACAGGTGCTTTGTAAGCTGAACTGGGCCTCAGTGTAAAACTAACAAGGGGTTTGGTTGCAGGGAGAAGCATCACCTCAAGTGCCCTTGCTGTGACCTTGCTGCTCTCCAGAGAGGTGGGCGACACACAGGGTCAGGTCAGCTTTAAAGTTCCTCTTGTTCAGGTCAACAGCATAAACCTTCTGATGTCCACCCAGGCACCCACCCGGGTTCTGTGCTTTTCTGGGCTTGTCAGGGACACTCTGCTGGCAGTGACCATGGGGGCTGATGCCTGCCTGCCCTCAGGCTGTCACATGGGTCCTCTGGGCAATTGTGGACCCAGGGCCTCTTATGCTAGGCCTCCCCAGCAGCAAGGAGCCACCAAGTGAGATGCAGCCCTGGCCTACGCTTGAACTGGCTGGGGAGGAGGGGCTGGCCTGCGCCTATGATGGCTGGTGGACAGGTGCTCGGGCCGTGGGCCCAGCACAGGGCCGTGCAGGCGTGCTGGGGGAGGCAGCACCCCGAGCGTGGCCCTGCGTTCGGTGGTGGCCCAAAGGTGCCTCCCTGGGTGACGCTAAGAAGGTCTATACCTTGTTCTCAAAAACAATGAAAAATGGGTGAAATCAACCAAAAATCAAAACAAAAGAGCAAGTCTCCTCTACAGAGTGAACTCTTCCTTCTTCCCAGCCTATGAAAGTGTTAAAGACTTCCGGAAGCTGGAGGGCACTGGGGGGCCGCATGAGCCCACAGAACTCCGGAGCCTGCCTTTGCCTGATGAGGCTGGGCTCTGCCAGCTCCGGCCAGCCCAGGCAGCTCTGCTTGGGATTCTGTGTTTTATTCTGATGTTGGCACAAACACCTGGTCACCTCCACCACGAGAGGGAAGCACAAAGCCCCGGCTGCCTTGCAGGCCTCCAGCCAGGCCCAGGGGAAGGCCTGGAGGCCAGAAGGCAGGGGTGAGAGGACTTGCACAGAGAAAGCAGGAGGGACAGGCAGGCACCGCACAGCTGGGCCGAAGGTCGCCCTCTGGGAGCTGGTGACGCTTCTGGACCAAGCATGAGTGTTCAGCCTGGACTGTCCTCAGGAGCCAACGAGCTCTTGCTGTTGGTGAAAAACAGCAGCACCAGGCTCTGAGGTGGCCTGGACCACACAGTCAGGGAAGAACAGAATCTGGAGGGGAAACACTCATAGGTGTGGGTCCCAGGGAGATGCCATCAGCAGAGGGGCCCCAGAAGAGCAGGGCAAACAGGAGAACCAGTGGAAGAGCTTCCACAATCATCTCCCAAGGCACCATGCAGGCCAAGAAAGCAGCGCTGGAGCGTGGCCCAGGCCAGAGGTGGGGCTCCCAGACATCTTGTGCGTGAGACACGCAGACGCCCGCCAAACCCTACGCTTCACCGCCATCCAGGGTGGATCTGGGAAATGAGGCTTGTGCAGGCAGCACACCACTCCCCTCCCTCCAGTGATGAGTAAAATTAATTGATCAAAAGTGAAGACAGAACACACCAAGCACCTACTGTGTGCCAGGCTTGGTCCCGGGCTCCCGGGATACAGCAGAGAACAAAACACACAAATTTCTGCCCTCATGAGGCTGATGCTCTAGTCGGGAGCCTGGCACAACCCAGACAGGTGCAAACTGCTTTCTAAGTGATGGTGTCAGCCTGTTGTGAAGGGGGGTGGGGGCAGGGGCGGGGGCGGGGGCGGGGAGGGAGGCTGCAATTGTTTTTCTTTATTTTCTGTAATACCTTCACTGAGAGAATTCTCAGCAGCACTCAATTCTCTCAGCTCACGTGTACAACTCGGTGGTTTCTAGCATCGTCACAGAATTGTGAGCCGTCACCACTATCAATTTTAGACCATTTTTGTCACTCCCTCCCCCCACCCTCAGCCGCTAGCAATGGCTGATCTGGTTTGTCTTGTATTTGCCTGCACTGGACGTTTCATAGAGAAGCGACGGGCTTCTTTCACTTAGTGAACTGTTTTCAAGGTTCTGCCACGTTGTAGAGATCAGCACTCCATTCCCTCTTTTTGGTTAAATAATATCCCATTGTATGAATCTACGACGTTTTGTTTAACCATTCATCAGTTGATGGCCATCTTGGTCATTTCTACTTTTGAGCTATTTTGGATAATGCTGCTTAAACAGCGTGGTTAGAGAAGACGGGAGCGCTAAGGGGTGAGCTGTGCAGATAGAACTGGGGACAGAGCATTACTGGCAGAGGGGAGAGACAGTGCAAAGGTCCTGGGGCAGAAGTCTGGCATGTTGAAGGAAGAGCAAGGAGGCTGGGTGCTCACGTGGGGCGAGATGGGAAGACAAGAAGTGTGGGTGAGGGGCCCCAGGGCAGAGCTCTTGGGGAGACTGGGGGGATGGTGCTGAGTCATCACAGGACTAGGTAGCCAATGTCCCAGCTGACGCTCACTCAGGGATCCTCACTCACCTGACCGCAGTGGTGCTGAAAGAGGCAGAGGAGCGGGTGGAGATGTACGGGTAGTGCTTGGTGTCAAGTTTGTCTTCAATAGTGTCCTGGAAAGAAGAAGCAGATGTCAGGCCTGCCGACTGTGGAAAGGGCAGCCAGGAGCCAAGGGGGGAAGAGTCAAAGAAGCAGCCACACAGTGAAAACTCCACACAGCAGAAGAGTCACAGCCAGAGCCCACCCCCGGCCCCCCGCCTCCCCGCCTTGCTACAGAGCAGAGTCCTGCAGGTCTATAACCAAAGTTAAAAATAGCAACTACATTGATTTTCCCTGCTTCATTTCTGAAGTTTTTTCTTCTCTTTCACCTCTGTAAGGTTACAAACATTGCATTCTGACCAATAAATTCCTGACACCTGTTAACAGCTTTATAGAAACCAGGTACAGGCAGAGTCTCAGCCAGAGCAAGCCTGACACCCTCGGTTTTCCCAGGGTGTAATTATGTGGTGGGTGGATTCCAATGATCTGCCTCCTGTTGCCTGGAAATCTACACTCCTCCTGACACCTACCCCAGAGGCCTGCACATCTCTTTCGGGGGTTGGGGAGGAGAGGCAGAAAGGGGAGTTGAGAACAATGGCTAGAGTAAGACAGAGGGGCTGGCTTCATCCCCCAAGCAAGAAGGCATCATTGTTTCTAGCTGTCTCATGTTCACCATCCTTTTCGCATGTGCGTTTAAAAATAAGAACTTGCTACACACTTGCTACACACTTATATATTTAAAGGCCGTTTATCTCCACGTCCAATCCAGCAGTGCACCTAGACTGCCCTGCGTTACAGGGTCCTGGGTCAGCCCCCTTGTCTCTGGACGCATCTTCCGGTTGGTGCAGGAGCTGGACAGGTCATCTCCACGTTCCACCCAAAGGTCAAGTGCACAGAATCTACGCAGCCTTTCCTGGAGCTACTTGAGGGGCAGGGACACCACAGGGCCTCTGGTGCCCACCCCCTCGGTTCACAAACATGGACACCTACCCTGTGCAGGGTACGGTGCCAGAGCACACGAGGAGCAAGGGCCACAGACCAGGGTATAAAACGGCCCTGGACACACGCTGTAGGAGCCCAAGGGATGCCCTGTGGGGCCGTGTACGTGCCTGGTGAGACTGACTGGGACTTTGACGGAAGCCAGGAGGCAGGAGGCGAAAAGGAAAGAGAACATTCAGGTGGCAGAGTAGGGGCAGAGACACATCTGGCAGGATCTCCGGTGGGCAGTTTAGGGGACAGGAACAACAGTAGAGTAGGCAGGAGCCGTCAGACACCCGCCAAAGGGGCTTCCAGGCACAGCCTTGTCCTGGACATGAACATGTCACTCATCTGACAGGTGCTGGGAGGGGCTTGGCTCCTCTGGGCATGGGGTTAAATCACATGGCTCTCGGAACCTGACCTAGCAGTCTCTCGCGACTGCTCTTCAGAAGCCTCAGGACTGGGTTTGCTGTGCGGGCTGGAAGAGCTCCAGACTCGGATGCGAATCAAGCAGAGAAAACCCCAGGTGCTGGCCGCCCAACAGCAGGCAAGGCTGGAGACATCTGTGCCTTAAGCACAGAGCCCTGGGCCGGACTGTGCCTCCCCCTGAGCACCATCACTCACCTCCATGATGTCCTTGATAATCGGGGTCCACCGGGACAGCTGGTACGTCTGCTCGCTGATGCGCTCCTTCCGCTCGGGCTTGCTCCTGCGGCGCAAAGTGGACTGGACACACACACGCAGGGTCAGGTGGGGCTGGGCCCTCGGGACAAGCATGCACATGCACACGCACACGCACACATGCACACGCAGACACACAGGGTTTGCGAGGGCCGGGCCCTCGGGCCCCAGGTGCCTCTGCTGGGCCCTGGAATCCCTTCCCAAGGGCTCCCTTCAGCATCTACGCCCACAAAGACTAACAAATGGGGGAGGTTTTCTTTGAAAAGCCAAAAATATGCTCCTTTTAGAGACCTGGAGCAAACTTGGCACTTTAAAGTGATGAAAAGTGGCAAATGTAGGTGAAATACATGTGCCATTTAAAAAAATTCCAGGGAGTTATAAAAAAGTTGCTGTCAACGACAGGAGAAAACACTACTGCTTTAGTTATGACTTATTCTTCGACTTTGCCTCAGTGACGGGCGGCGCTGGATGAGTCGTCTCCATCCTCATTTTGGTCCCTCTGGGGAATAAGGGGCTGAGTCCCAGCCAGCACCCCTGAGGGGGCAAATCTGCCAGCTTGCGGGAGAGGCTGGGTCTCCGTGTGCGGAGCCGGAGCCACACGGACCTTGGGAGTGAGGGAGATGCTGGCGTGGCCCCCACTCCAGTCAGGACAGATGCAGATGCGACCCCCAGGAGCCGCCTGGGTTGCTGGGCTCCACCCCACCTAGCATGCACCCCTGGGCGTCACTCCTGATTCTGCCTGCTCTTTCCCCGTGTGGAGGTGTGCATCAGAGCTGCCGGGGATCCAGCTGCCAGCCTCCCTGCCCCGAAAGCATGGCTGGGCCCTTACGTCCGTGACGATGGGCACCCCGAGGTGCGCCATGTTGGTGATGATCTCGCTGTCCTCCGGGGGGATCTGGGCGTGCTGGATCAACTTGTTCAGGTTTTCCTCAGTGATGCCTGTGGGAGCAAAGCCCCGTCACCACACCCAAACCTGCGTATCACACGTGGGGGCTGGGGCCCTTCTCCTCAGGACTGGAAGCCCATCCAGTAAGACAAGGAGAAGCCGAGGACTCTGACTCCACTGCGGCCGTCCTGCCCTGGCTGCGACCATCGGCAGCTGCCCAGGGGTCTCAGTTTCTGCCTGTGTCTGCTTCTCCACCCTCCCTGCTCAGCCCAAAGTCAACTTGGACAGGCAGTCTCCGTGCCCATCTTTTTGCAGGACAGGCACTGAGGGTGGCTGTGGGGCGGGACACTCAGTTACTTTCAGGTACAGACTGCAAAGATGTTGCAGGTTAGAAGAACCTGGCACAGGCAGGCTAATAAACTGCCCACATGCTGGGCTCTGCTGCTCTCTCCGGCCTGGCCTCTTACAGCCCTAACCCTGACCCCTCAACCCTCCAATTACGGGGACACTCAGCCCCCAGTTGCAGCCTATTGGCCCGCATTACATTCCCCCATGTGTAGAGTCCCTAAGTCTTACTGAATATCCTTTGCCTCCTGCTTTCCTTCTCTCTTCCCTCTGCTTTCGTCTCCCAGCTGCCCCTGCCCTCCTCTGGGTCCCAGCATTCCTACCATTCTTCAGAAAGATGTAGAGAAGGATGATGCGGATTTTGTCGTAAGTGCTGACATTTGCGTCCAGGAGGATGGGGACAATGGCTCTCATGGGGTCCTTGATCTTCTCCCCTTCAGCATCCGTGCCCATGGCCAGGTCCTGCAGAAAACACGTCACACCGGCCCCATTTCTGATGACAGCTTGGATAGACCGTGACTAGCAGAGACTGGTGGCCCACAGCATCTGGGGTGTGTCTTGGTTGGGTACATTCCTCTCCCCACACTTCCACCCTCGGGCACTGTAACCTGCACAGGTGTCACCAGCAGTGTCCCCACAGCACTGGGAGACGTGATGAGGGCCCTAGGTTGCGCTTCCCAAAAACGGAAGTCACAGTGAGCTGACGCCTGGTTCCCTCCAGGTGCGAGCGAGTGCACCTGTGCCGAGTCCCAGGTGAGCCTCCGTCTGGTGGGATCTAGAGCTACCGCCCTGCCAAGGGGCCAGGGATGCGCTTCCTACACATGAAAGCTTTGTGTCCAAGGGGCCTCTGCCTGCTAGACTCTCCCCGCTCTGCCTCCTCCGGCACGGAAGGTGTGCAGTTTGAGTTTTAACTACTCCAGTTTTTTAGCCTCTATGTTTTGTTTTTTCTTTTTAAAGATTTATGTATTTATGCATACAAGGGCTGGGGTACAGACCAGAGATGCAGGGGATGAGAGGATTCACCAGAGACAGAGTGGGGAACAGAACAGGCAGATTGACAGAAATACACTGCTGAGGGGAGCAGCGGGGAGGCAGGAGAGGTCTGCTGCGCCATGTGGGTTGCTCCCTGGCCGGCCGGGGATCTAACTCATGCTGCAGAGACTGCGGATTGCTTCACAGTGCGGTGCTTCACCCCTTGCGCCACCAGGGAGGCCCTAGCCTCTGTTTTCAGTCTTGCAACTACTTCTAGGGTGAGGAGGAAAAAAATGAGCTCCCAAACCTTCACATCTGAGCCAGGGAGATGGAGGAGGCGAGAAGGGCTGACACAAGAATCGAAGAGTGAGTGAGCACAAGCTACCGGCTCCATGTGACAACTCAAGTGAGAGTCAGGCCCTTCTTGGCAGGCACAGAGAGCAGCTCAGCCTTTCAGCAAAGCAAGGACCTCTGTAGCTGCAACTTCCTCTGAGCTCTTGGGAGGCTGCTGGGGTCCCCACTTCTCCCTCTAGATCCCAGGGGTCTGTACAACTATGATGCTGAGTGGGTGGCTGTCTGAGTCTGCGTCAGAGGAAGCGGGGGCCTGTTCTGAGCCCCTTCGACTCCCATCCCCTCCCCAGCTCAACAGAAGTCTGTTCAGCAGGACCTGACTCTTAATTCTCTCTAATGTCAAATCTAATGTAACCCGTAACTGAGGACTAGGGAGTGCTTCTGAAAAGATTTAAGCTTCAAGGACTAACCACATCTTTAGTGGTGCAGTATAACCTCTGCTCTGGATGGTCAAGTTCTTCCTGTGAGGATACGTCGTATTTGACTAGGTCGCCTGTGACATGGAGAGGTGTGAGCAGGGCTATTTCCCCTGAAAAAAGGGTCAGTGAATCTGGACACGTCTTACAAGGCTCAACTGAGCCCGTGAGTCTCAGCTCACACCTCACAGAACTTGGGCTGGTTTCTCTGTGAGAAGGGCTTTCCACTGAGGTATCAGAATCATTTCATGCTCTTTTTCCTCAGAAGTCAGACTTGCGGAATGGGGTGTTGGGACTAGTGACTCTACATAACACCCTGGAAAACTTGGGCATCTTTGTTACTGTCCTATGCAGGACAGTGAGGAAAATGGAGAGAAACGGACACTAAACAAGCCAGGGCAGAGAACTCAAACCCAGAATTCTCAGAGGACCGTCCTACAGGGGTCGGTGGAGTGATAGCAACTGCGCTGTCCTCAGCCCGAGTGTCCGGAGCAGGTCTGGCCACGGCAGCAGGACACACATCAGAACGGGAAACCCAGCCAACCCTGTCTGCGGAGGCTGGGCTCCAGCCTCCTGCATCTTTGGAAAGGCAGGCATGCAGGACCCAAGAGCACGGGAGTGAGCTGACCCCTCCTGTCCCTACCATTGGCGCCAGACTCGAGACAACACATTCTCGCAACGTTTCCAGCTCTATTCCTATGACTCTGCAGGGTGTTCAAGGCCAGATATTAACACTCAGCTGGGATAGCGGGCCTGGCAGAGAGAGAAGGGAGAGCGCCCACCTGCTCCACGCGGCAGAGTTTGTCCACGGTACCCTGGTAGTGCTTCATGCAGTCCTCCGCGAGGTGCAGATGGGTTGAGTACTAGGAAGAAGCAGAGTGTGAGACCAAAGTATCCGTGGTTGATTCAGCCCAGGTCCACAAGCACCTGCTGTGTGTCAACAGCGTGCTGGGCACCAGGGAGTCCACAGCCTCACAGAGGAGACCACGCTTTCAAGCAGGTGTCAGGGGAGAGGGGACGCCCTCTGGGGGCAGGTGATCCCTCCCTCCAGAAGGTGGAGCCTAATCCCCACACTGGAGTGTGAGCTGGACTTAGTGTCTCTTCTAATGAACAGTGTGGAGGAAGTGACACCCAAAATTAGGTGGCCCTAGCTCTCTGTGCTGGGTTACCCACTCTAGAGAAGCCAACTGCCAGGGGGTGAGGAATAGGATCAAGAAAGGAAAAAAACGAAGAGACTAGAAGGTGATGTGAAACAGACTGCCCATTCCAGCCTTTCATTTTTTACTCATTAAAAAAAAAAAAAAAATGAAGATGACTAAAGTGAATTAGTAGCAGAGGGGGCTTTGAGCAGTCTTGCCAGCAGTGTGCTCCCAAGGATGGCATCCACCAATTTGGATGGCCCTACCTTGCTGAGTTCCTTCTGGTACTGGGGCATCTTCTTCAGCATCTGGGACAGGTCCCGCATGGTGGTCTGTAAGGAAACAAAGGCACAGCCTCACTCCATTGTGAGGCCCTGATCTAGAGGCCACGTGGGGTGGTGAATTCTAATTCTGCCACGAGCGAAAAAAGGTTTCCTCTGGCTTAACATGAATCAGGACCCAAGACAGTAAATATTAAGCCACAGAAAGCAGCTCTCTGGTGTCAAAAGACAGGACTCTCCAGGTCTCCATCCTGAATACAAAAATAAGAACCCACCTCATGGGTCTTAGGGCGAGGAGGCCCCTCCCTGCTCCCAGTGGGAAGCGGGGCGGGGCGGGGGTAATCTAAAGGGCGTTGGCAAGTTAGTCAGGTTTACCTTCTCTCCAGTGTTCATTCTCTTGCTAGAAGAAAAGTCTTTCAGAGATCTGGTGACTTCCCTGGAAGACAGAGGAGGCAGCTAAGGTTCAACGCAGCACCAAGTGCCTCTATTAGACGCTACAGAAGTAATGCAAGATTCCTGCTTTGGGACTGCGTGGTTAATTTCCCGCCAGTAAGGGATGCATTTCAAGTGATTTTCTAGAAGAAGAAAGATCGTTTTCCTTACTATCAATACTATTCTAAACCAGTGGTTGCAAGGTGGGGATTTATGAGATGATCCAAGGAGAGGAAAATATTAGAACAGCTATTGTTTCCTTTACTTCATTCATCCTTTTCAAATTTTTGTCAGCAGCTGCCCTGGGGAGGGGCACGTGTTGGGGAGGGGAGGCATGCACCGGGGGCTGGAGGGGGCGCTTACTGGGACACCTCTGCGATGTGCTTGTGGCGCAGGGCGATCCACAGGTCATCGTCCTCGTCCAGGAGCACCTCCTTCACCCGCGCCTCTCCAATGCCGCTGGTCTCGTACCTGCAGAGGAGACACCCCCTGGTTATCAGACAAGGGCTCCCCATCCTCGGCCACCTGACGGGCGCTGGCTCCAGCAGTCCGCAGCATCTGCACAGACACACCGCGGCTTCCGGGCAGAGAGGGATGTGTCTGCCAACCCGCTTGCAGTTCTCTCAAAATGCCCAGGTCAGCCGATCTGAGCTCCCACGTCAGCTGGCTCAGGTGAGAGGGTGGTTACAGGTGGGTACAGAGCGCCCTAGAAGGAAAGACCACATTTGTTCCCTTCTGGGGAAGGACCGGGGATGTGTGGCACCTAGACTGCGCTCACAGGCCCCTGCTGCAGGCTCAGCTCCATGTGGAACCACCGACACGCGAGGGAAAGCAAGAGGGACCGTTGTCAGAGGGAAGCAGCGGAGATTCACCTGGGGCTCAGAACCTCCCCTTGCACACCATTATCTTCATGATCAATGGTATAAAATAAATAACATGAGAGCAATACACCCTGTTTCCATGAAAAGGAAAGTCAGGTTTTAGAAACTGAGTTTTTGATGGCTACCAAGAACAAAGTCGCTTATAAAAAGAAAAAGGAGAACAGGATCCTCTGAAGATAAAGTTCAATAACAAGCTCCTGTTGATATATTTTTATCCTATTTCATGCTCTGTAACTAAGAAGCTGCAACTCTGAATAAGACACACTCACACACTTGGATTTGAGTCAACAAATCCAAGCAGCCCAGTGGGGTGACTGGGCCCGAGCAGCAGCTGTCATATTCCAGTACACCCGCGTAGCCAAGGGGCTTCCTGCATACCTCAGTTTTACAGTGGTTCATGTCAAATTTACGCAATGAAAATGGGAAACATTAAATAACGTTCTGGTCCTCCCCAGAAGGGGGCGTGGGTCCTGGCAGCATCACCCCGGGGGCTGCATGTGCACCGGGGAGATGGCAGCGGTGTACCTGCTTTCTCCAAGGTTGACCACGGCCCCTTTCTTAAGCCACAGGAGCCTCAGCTGTCCACAAAGATGCGCCGCTCCGCCCTGACACTGCACTTACTTGTACACGTCGTTTTCAATAGGCAGCAGGTCGTAGCTCATAGCCTGGAAAGTCAGCTCGTGAAGGACGGGGGAACTGGGGTCAAAGCCTCGGTCCAGGATCAAGAGCTGGGAGCGCGCCTTGTCGGGGCCCTGGAAGGAAGCACAGGGGCAGCATTTCTAAGGTCCCGCAGAGCCCCAGCTTGTCACTCCCTCAGCCTGCACGGCCCTCTCTTCAAAGGGGCACAGCAAGGGAACGTGGAGGCAAGACCTTCAGATGACACAGAACAGCTGACTCACTGCTTGATGAGGACCCCAGAAACCATCACCTGGAGCCCACGCGCTTTATTGACCTCACAGACAGGGCGCTTCTCACAATCTTCTCTATCAGTAAAACAGGAAGGGTTCTCTGAGCACAGTATCTTTATTTTTTTTTTTTTTTTTTTATAGAGGCACGTTGTTTTTTTTTTTTATTTATTTATTTGTTTGTTTGTTTTGTTTCTACATGCACTGGGTACAGTCAGAAGCGCGGGAGGGTGAGAGAATTCACCAGAGCCAGAGCGGGGAGCAGAGCAGGCAGAAGGACCGAAGTACACTGCTGAGGGGAGCAGCGGGCGGCAGGAGAGGTCTGCGCGCCATGTGGGACCCTCCTCCAGTGGCCTGGGAGCAGCCAGGGATCGAACCGGCGCTGCAGAGGCTGCGGGCAGCTTTGCAACCCAGCGCTCAACCGCTGCGCCACCGGGGAGGCCCGAGCACAGTATCTTTAAATGAAGGTGTTTGCATGGCTTTTTTAGACATAATGCCACCACACACTGCACGGTGCAGCATAAACCTGTGATATGTACTGGGAGACCAAACACTCCTACAAACTGTATACACACACACACACACACACACACACACACACACACACACTACTATACAAACTCATGAAATCTGAATAAGGTCAGCAATTGTACCACTGTCAATTTTCCAATTCTGACACTGTTCTACTGAGGGGGCATGCAGGATATTCAGAGTTGAAAGGAGGGAAGTCTCAGAAAACACACACATTGGTCAGCCCATCTACACCAACCAGGCTGGGGATCCTGGGAGGCCAGAGCACAGGACAGTGACGCTCACAAACACGGGGGGGCAAGAGAAGCCGGCTGTCCCAGGACTGCACGCGGCCAGCACATGTGAGGGCCTCGTGGCCCAGCCTAGGCTTACCTCCCCCATCGTGGGATCATCCGCTTTGTAGGCATCGAGCTTGTCCTGGATTAGCTGAGCCAGCAGAGCATTGTCCTTGTACTCCCTGACAAGGAGGGGAACACAGGGTGAGGTGGTGCACCCCAACAGTGGCGCTGACTGCTCTTGGGGAGGACGGCAGGACAGAGGGAGACATGGGTTCCCTCTGGCTGGTTCTTTGAAAAACATAATGTATTGCATATATGCACATTATCTGCATAATTTAATAAAACACTTAGCTCAGTATCTGGAACCTAAGTAATTGTCTGGTTTTTTCCCTTTTTTAAACTACCTAAATGGAAACAGAGGCATCTTTCCAAGCAGCTCCAGACAGACAGCCATGAGGGTCCATCCTTGTCCAGAAGCAGGCTCTGAGCCTGAGTCTCACTTCCCATAAGCCATATTCCCTCAGGCCTTGGTTTTCTTTGGTTGCAAGAGACATTTCTGCTGCAGAGCCGGAAAGGTATGAGGGAAAAGCCCTGAAATGCTTCCCTTGGAGCACTGCTGGGGCTCCTCCTAGCTAGACTCAGGCTCAGTGCTAAAGCAGTTATTTCCAGCCCCCTCACTTCCACAGAGGAACTCCAAGCTCCCATTCTGTCGGGAGATAGGGCTGAGGTCCCCACTTATAAACGCCCCCCCAGGGTTTTGTCAGTGCTGATAACAGAGGGATGCCTTCTTCCACAGCTACACGTTCCAGCAGACAGTGTGGCATAGGGACAGGTGACGATGATCCCTGGCACACACGTCCAGGCCCTCAGCTCCTTGCCTGACTCCTGCTCGTACCCCCACCTTCATGCTCCCACAGGCCTGCAGGCACCCCCAATCCAGGGCAGCCACCACAGGGCACAACCCCAAACTGGGCACACCTCATCCAGCCCTATTCTCACTGTGCTAGACAACCAGTCTCCCCCGCTCGCCCATGTCTTCCCAGTTCCACACTCTGCTCCCAGCAAGAGCCGGGTGTTCGTACACAATGCCCTGTGCAGCTCATGGGTCATCAAAGCCAGAACCTGTCCTTCAGACCCAGCCCCATTGTCAGCCTCGTCTGAAGCCATTCTCCACCCTCTTAGCTCAAAGGGCCATGCAGGCGTGCATAGCGTCCTGCCTACCCCCAAATCAGGGGCTTCTAATGGCAGAGGCTGTGTCTTCAGGCTAAGTCTCCCCAGCACTCAGGGCCTAATGGACTGAATGACTTTGTAAAACCTGAGGGCCTTTGGAGACTCGGTCTCTGCATTTTATCTTACTCTGAAACATCTTCTAAAAAGATGGCATGTTTCTTAAAGGCTATAAGAGATGGAAGCTGTGGGAAACCTAGGATGTGGGTGCAAAGGGCTCACACACTTTTGTTATTCAATAAATGAGTATGTGTATTTCCTGCCCTTCCCTGTATGAACTACATCACACAATGAAATTTAGAAAGTATCAAAAACATTGGAAGGATAGTTGCAAATGAGAGACGCTCAAATCTCAGCCCTCTTGAGACAACCGTCAGGAGTCTGCAGGCCAGAGGGAGAGCAGAGGCAGCACCTCGTGCAGGAAGGTGGGCCAGAACAAGTGCAGCCCCTTACCCCCGGTACCGCACAGCCGGGTATTCCTTCAGCGTGGCGCACAGAGTGGCGATCTGCTCTGCCAGGCGCTCCAGGATGGGGTTCTTCATCTGGGCCTTGTGGGGACTGTAGAAGCTCTGGAAGGAGTCAGCAGAGTCCAAGGAATACACCTGAGCATGGAGATGAAGAGACACATGTGGCATTTGCATCCAGGACCAGGAACTGTGGAGGCTGACTCAAGGGATTGAGTCTACAGAACATGTTTTCTCTTATTCTCCCACAGGTGCTGGGTGTCGCCTGCATGCCGGGCACTTGGGAGGTGTAAGTGACCAAAATGTGACTGCCTGAGATTCGAGTGGGGAAAGCAAACCAGAAACAGTGCGCGGGTGTCATCTGGGAGCTGCTGGCAAGTGTATGAGAAAGTGCCTGAGGGCCTGCAGGGAAGACAGTCCTCCCTGAGGGCCTGCAGGGGACACTGTCCTCCTTGAGGAGAGGAAGCACCAGCCGGCCAGGCAGAACTGAGGAGTCGGAGGCCAGAGTGTCTGAGGGACAAGGACACTGGCAGAGGGGAGGTTAGTGTGAAACCTCACAGGCCACTAGCAATTTAGTTTTAATAAACAAGGAACAAGCTAGAAATTATGCTGTGACAAATAAAAGGACTTTCCATGGATTTAATAATCATTTCAGTTCCTCAGTAGTATGTTCTAAGTATTTTTTTTCTTTTTCCTTTTTTTTTTTAATCTTAGATGGCTCTGGAAATTTACATTTTCTCTTAAACTACCTACTCTGCCACCAGCTACCAGCATTCTCTCAAAACCTCATTTCTGTAAAATCTACAAAACTTGAGGTTTTTTAAAAAAGGCTTATTACCCTTCGAAAATAAGTGAAGTATAATATGGTCGAATGTGCTAGCAGTGGGTTTTATTCAGTCCAGGTGGTGACTGCTCATGCAGGAGGGAAGTGGCCTGCCTTCAAGCTGGGAGTGGGCTTTAGGCCAAGAGGACAGGAACACGTTGCCTTTGAATGTTCACACTATATTTTCCACTCCTCCTCTAAGAACAGGTCACCCTCTAGTGTCTGGAAGCTCATCTATGAAGATGAAATATGCCACCATCATCTTTTATCTCTACAAAATGCATAAAAGTCTTGTTATTTTTGTTTTTTAGCTAGAAAAACATATTTTAACAAATCTTAAAATACTTAGATAAAAATGCATATTCTCTCACAAGGTTTCGCCTTTTCTGGTTTAACAATTTGGTTTTCCCCCAAAGGGAGAGGCCTGCTGCCTGACGCCTGGCGTGTGAAGTGTTAATGGCTAATGACGAAGGAGCCATCTGGTCTCCCCGCGTGACTGGCTGAGGTTATCTCTACAGGAAAACAAGTCTCCCTCCAGCAGCAGATGGGCGCGGTCTGCTCCGTCCCGGCCTCTCTTCCAGCCTTTTTGAACTGGTCATTTTTTGGTTCTTTAGGGATTTAGCCAGAAGGACTGAACACAGTAAGCAAGGCTGACACAGGCACACCGAGGCAGGCACACTGGCGGAAAGAATCAAGATAACTGGAGGAGGGACAAACCCCAGAGAAATCCTGTTTCCACCCCATGAATATCCACTTCCAACACGATATTCAGAACCCAGAATCTGAGCCCTCCCTTCCTGCTCTTCCTGCACTCCAGCCCCACCCTCAGAGTGTGCCCGAGCCCTGCTCCAGCGGCGAGGATGCGGGGATGTGGCTTCCTGGCATTCCTTCCTCAGCCTCACCTGCGATTCATATGGGAGAAAAGCGATGTTGATTTCCGTCAGAGTTTTGATGACTTTGGCTGCTCGAGATTTTACCAGCTCATTGAACAGAGCGTCGGGACAGGCTGTAAGAGGACAAGAGAGAAGGGTATCTGGATGTCTGCGGAAGCACTTCCACTGCTGCACATAGGTGGTGCATTCCTTGACTGGGATTCTAAAAAGGCAACTAGAGGGCCTCCCCGGTGGCGCAGCAGTTGAGCACTGGGTTGCGAAGCTGCCCTCAGCTTCTGCAGCGCCAGTTCAATCCCCGGCTGCTTCCCGGCCACCAGAGGAGGGTCCCACATGGCCCACAGACCTCTCCTGCCGCCCGCTGCTCCCCTCAGCAGTGTACTTCGGTCCTTCCGCCTGCTCTGCTCCCCACTCTGGCTCTGGTGAATTCTCTCACCCTCCCGCGCTTCTGACTGTACCCAGTGCTTGTATAAATAAATAAATAAATCTTTAAAAAAAAAAAAAAAAAAAAGGCAACTAGAATGCTCATCCCACCCTAAAACATCCACTGCTTCTAGGGAATAAAAGTAGTGAAAACACTTACAAGTCCTCCAACTTATAGGAAACACAGGGCAATAAAGACTGAAATGTTCAGTGCTAATAATAACCATTTTCTGATCTCAAGGGAGGTACAAAGGAAGATATTAAGCAGGGATTAGGAAAAGCCCTGTCCGGACACAGACATCATACACCGCATGTGTATGAAAATTAAGTAAACAAAAATCAAACCACCGGGAAATGGAGTGCAGGCCATTTGCCAGGAGCGCCAAGGACTCGCTCAGCTTCACGGGAGCCATGTGGGGAGGGAACTGCGGCTTCTAGTGACTCCTCTGGGGCAAGGAAACAGCTTCAGGCTCCCAGAAATGTGTTACTGGGTTATTATTACTCGTGCTGTCCACCCACTACCTGTCAGCCGGGCTCAAATGATATAGCGTTTTTTGCAAGAACCTTTCCCCATTTTCTCAGCAGAATCTTGAGGGTTTTCCCCAGCAGAACACGGGGTAAACCATCACTGAACACTCTCTGGCTATTCAGTTCTCCCCAGCTCTCTTGCTGTTAACTGAGATCCACCAAGATGCTCCCGCATGGGTCCCCCGCACAGACCCTCCAAAGACACGCGAACAGGCATGGGAAAAAGGCGCAGGCGCCACCTGACGTGGAGACCACCGATGGAGGGATCTATGAGGTTGGAAGCTGATGGAAATACATGGCGCTACACTGCTCTCTGGAAGGCTACGCAGTGCAACACCGAGGCAGCGGGGAACCCAGCACTCACCCCTGGCCCTCAGGAGAGGTGCTCCTGGAGACAGGAAGGGCTGCCTGACCCAATAGTGTGTGTGTGTGTGTGTGTGTGCGCCATGTGGGATCCTCCTCCAGTGGCCGGGGAGCAGCCAGGGATTGAACCGGTGCCGCAGAGGCTGCAGGCAGCTTCGCAACCCAGCGCTTAACCGCTGCGCCACCGGGGAGGCCCATGTGTGTGTGTGTGTGTATTTTTGTCTCTGCTGCAACTCATCTTCTGAGGAGAAAATACAAGATCACGACCAACTTGGCAACAACCCTTTACCCCCTGGGGGCAGGAAAGCCACTGAGGGCAGGGGCTGGGCGAGGCTGTCAGCAGGGAACTCACAATCGGTGAAAAAGACGTGGGCAGCCCGGTACTTGGCGGTTGGCGGGTCCTTGAAGTCACTGATGAGCGAGTGCACGGACTGCGGGAGGAAGAGGGAGTGAGTCCAGGGCAGCACGGGCAGGCCTGCCTGTGAGTGCGGGAGCGCAGGCTGCCTTCACACCGTGCACGCAAAATAGCAGGGGCTTCAATGTGCCACAAGCGGCTGCTGAGAACTTAAAATCAGGATTACTTCAGAATTTAGATGAACAAAAGCCTTCTTGGCTCACTGCAGGAGGACAGAGCCCACTCTGGAGTCCCGTAACTGGGATCCCTGGGATCCACAAACAAGGATGCTAGCCAGAAACCCCTAGAGCCCATACCCATGAAGTTCTGGCCACTTAGTTGCATCTGCTGAAGCTCACACATAAGCCAGCTTTCAAAAGTGAAAAGAGAGCATTTAACTAGGGGAACTGACACAGATGAAGTGTCAGAAAACCCCCAGAAAACCATCGACCAGAAAGCAAGGGGGTGGCCCAGGTCTGGATGCTGATTTGAACCCACCCTCCCGTCCCCCACCCGCACGCTAAGAGATAAATTTGAACACTAACTGGATGTCAAGGAAATAAACCTGAAAACATAAAATACCAAAGTTCAGGAGGTTGGATCACTAAGCGCACAGGGAGGATCTCCCACTCCAGAGGGCATGCGAGGGGGACAAGACGCACCAGCCCTGGTTTCTGGACAGCACCTGCGTTTCAGAAAGCTTCAATTCTCCCTGCTTCCCCATTTATGGGCTTGATGCTTAATCCGAGCAGCGTGTCAAGCGCATGCTTAGCCACGCGCCCTTGTCCAAAGCCCCGGAGAGGAGGTACCTTCTCTGACGGAGTGATGAGATACACGGCCTCCAGGCTGGGGAGCGGCTCCCTGCGCTTGTTGATGTCTTCCACAACTAGACAGAGACAGCAGCCACAGAGAAGGAGAAGACACGATTGGGGTCATAAGCTAGAAGCTTAACTGTCCTTTTGACCCCGTTAGCAGGTATCTAACAGCCTCTAGCACCGCATTAGGTGTTAGGGATTTGGTGGTCAAGAAGCTTGGGTCTGGGTCTCTGGGAACTTAATGTCCCACCACCCAGGGTGCTGGAAGGCTCTAGGTCAAGGGAGATGACAGGGATGGGGAGGAAGAGCGGCGTGGCCCAGGGTGGGGCGGGGGGCACTCACTTGTGATCCCCTCCGTCATGATGTCCGTCATCTTGCAGCAGGACGAGAGCATCCTCATGCTCAGCTGGTCCACCACCAGCACCTGAAGCAAGAACAGCTCAGCTGCACGGTGTCCACAGCAACCCAACCACTCACTGCCCAACTATACAGAGGGCCCCGAATCCTGGGCTACTGACATTTCTATGGGCCAGAGGTTTCCCGAGGGACACGCTCACCGCTATCCCCCGCCCAGCCCTACCCTTCTGGGAGCAGAGTTTGTGCTCACTGACCTAAATTAGAGACTTAAAGAAATAAAAGCTTTTATTTTTCATGATAAAGAGAGAGAGAGAGAGAAAGAGAAAGAAAGAGAGAGAGAGAGAGAAAAGAACAATCTCCAGCACCAGCACCCTCAGAGAAAACCAGAGGGGAGAGCGCTTGTTCAGGACACAGATTTCTCTCCAGGGAGAATGACCCTGGTGTCCGCGCGGGGCAGAGAACGGGCGGCAGCGTCACCGGGAAGGGCCAGCACCAGCACCAGTGTCATCGGAACCTGCTCTGCCCAGCGCAGAGGGGACAAGTGAGGACCCGCCCAGTCTGGCCTAAAAGCTTCGTTCCTGCCGTCCCTAGCTCACCTCTTCCATCTCCAAGCAGCCCGCCGTGGAGAGGAAGCGGCGGTTAAAACAAGACTCTTTCTCTGTTCTTCTATCACTGACCTAGCCCGGGTGACAGGAACTAGACACAACCGGACAGAAGTGTCCTGCAGGGCCCCCTGGCTTCTCTCGAGGCAGCCTCCTTAACACGTGTGTGAAACCCACACACTGTGGGCCCATCGCTGATGGCACAGGGGAGCGAGACTCCGGCGGTGGGGATGCGGGTGCTGGCTACACAGACGCTCCCCAGGCCGGGGCCAGACCGCAGGCCTCCTGCTCTGCCAGCTCTGCTGTTCTCAGGCCCAGACAACTGGAAGACGTGTGGGCTCCCGACTGCAGGAGGACTTGGGGTCAAGAGCAGCCGGCATCAGTCTTTCAACAACACGCCGGGAAGTTCAAGGGAGACCGTGGTGTCGCCGCCAGCCCGGGAGCCCCCACTGCCCTCCCGCCCTGCCGGGCACGGCCAGCACCTGGGCTAAATACCAGCTCCACGCACAGCGCGTGCCCAGCATTGCCCTCATGGGGGAGCAAGCTTAGCTGTTGTGTCTTATTTGGTTACAGAGAGGGGGTACCCCAGACAGGCCCCCCTTTCTTTCCCATGACGTGTGGAATAATTTCACCTTCTTCTAGTTTCTGCAACGGGTTGCTGGGAGCATTTTACTCAAATTAGAGCTGTGATGCTGAGATGGCCCCGGGGGCTCTTCAAGGGCCCTTAACTGGGGGTCACAGAGGCCGCACAGTGGCCTTTCTCGCGCTCTGTGGACTCCGCAGGCCTGTGCTCCTGCCCTGTGCGTGCCCGCCCCGCCCCATGGGCACTCGCCTTTAAGGGCCACCAGGTGTGCTCTCACTCACCTTCCACTCTCCCTTCTTCTTCACCTTCTTGATCACGTCATGCATGATCTCTGAGGAAGGGGGGAGGGGGAGGGAGGGAAGGGGGAGGGGGAAGAGGAGGGAGGAGGGAGGGAAAGAAGAGAAAGAAGGGTTAACGCCCAGGGCTGCTCCTGCCCCACAACCCTCCCAGCTGCACACTCGTCACCGTCCACCGCAGAGTTACTCTCCCCAGCTCCTTCACGTGGTGGGTCTCCACCTTCTTGCCCACAGAACTTCTTCACACTCTTAAAAACGAAGGACCCCCAAGAATGTGTGTGCATGGGGGTACATATCTATTCATATTTATCGTATTAGCAATTAAACTGAAAATGTTTAAAAATATGCTTCACTAAGAGCAACAATAAACCCACGGCAGGGCAACACGAACAGCGCTTTAACGAGCGGTGACTGTATTTTCCACAAGACACTTGAGTGAGAACACCGCGTTGGTTTACACTTCCGCGACTTCTGGGGCCGGGCCCCACCCGCAGCAGCTGAGCTCCCCCAGCCACGCTTCTGCCGGGACCCCTCCAGCGGCTGGGAAACTAAGAGAATGTGAGGGAAAAAGGCAGCAGCATCTTAGTCAAGGTATGAAGACAGCTCGGACTTCATGGACTCCCTGGAGGGTCCCGGTGGGAGAACCGCCACCTCAAGTTAAGTGAGTAAAACGCTGTGAAGGTCCCCCAAGTCACATGAGCCCCCTGCAAACTCAAAAACGGATGTGAAGAGCAGTTGTGATGTACTTCCGATCCCAAGCACAGCTGTGGGTGCTCTCACCCCCAAACCACCAGGCAGGGAAAGTGGCTGGATCTGAGGTCTATCTCTGAGGTAAAACCAACAGGGCGAGCTGATGAGCTGGGCGCCAAGGACGAGAGGAGACGGAGCGACTCCCAGGTTTCTAGCGTAGGCAAAGACAGCACGAGAGGGCGAGAGCTGAAATGGGGGGGGGGGGCGGGGGGGCGAGGCAGGAGAGACCTGGCCCAGGTAGGAGGCAGGAGGGCAGAAGGAAGGCAGAGCGCCGTGGGCCTAGGCGCGGCTACCGAGAGCAGGTTAGCGGCGCGGAGGGAGAGAGAGGTGTGTCTGTGTTCAGAAGGCAGGTGCATATCTTCCCAAATATGGGGAAAAATAAATTACTAAGGAGATTTAGCATTTCTGGGCTCCACTAAAAGCTAATCCAAGGTTCATGGGTGTGAATTTAAAGTGGAAGCAGTGTAGCCCCTCACCCCCAACAACGGGTGGCTGCCCAGAACAGGCCAGAAAGGGAAGAGCAGCTGGTTTCAACCAGAGTTAGAATTTCCCCAGGTGTTGGGCCTCCTCTGGTGGCACAGGCAGTTGAGCTCAGGGCTATAAAGCTGTCCCAGCCTCTGTAGAGCGGGTTCGATGCCGGCCGGCGAGGGTCCCACATAGCGCAGCAGACCTCTCCTGTCTCTCCCGCTGCTCCCCTCAGCAGTGTATTTCATCAGTCTGCCTGTTCCGGTGTCTGGTGACTCTGTCTCTGTCTCTGGTGAATCCTCTCACCCTCCCGCGCATCTGGCCTATACCCCGGTTCTTGTATAAATAAATAAAATCTTGGGGAAAAAAAAAGAATTTCTCCAGGTGAGCACAAAAGAGGGACACAATATTCAATATATATGAGTGAGTGGGGAAAGGCGTGATGCAACAATTTTTAAAAATCACACAAAGGCAAAATTAGAAAGACTTACACAAAAAGGCTATTTTTGTACAGTGAAGTTAAGATCAATCTTGAACTGCCAGTTTGAGCCTCCCCATGTTCTCCCAAGCTCTCCACACTGAGCATGTGTCACTTTTTGTTATAGGAAAAGTCCTCTAAGATGACATTTTTGTGCCTGGGGCCTTGCTTTGCACAAACCCCTCTTCAGGAGCACATTCTGGGTATGGAATGAATGGGCAGGGTGTAATGCTCTGGGTGCTTGATAAATTCTGCAGCATTATTTTTCAAAAGCATAATTTTTACTGCTGCATGACTCTCCAGGTTACATGCTAACTGGTTCAGTAATACCTTGAGGTTTGTTTTTTTAATGTCTGCTAATGTGACAGCAGAAAATGGTAACATTTTGCTGTCTTTATTTGAATTGATTATATTACAGAGGATGGATATTTTCCTTTTTTTTTCTTTCTTTTTTTTGGCCACTACACACAATTAAAACACTGACTTTAAATTCAAGCCACCTTTTGATAGGGGAAGGCAGAGATATAATTAGAAAATCAAACAAGTACTGAAGGCTGGAGTAACTGCTGCAGCATAAACACTTCCCACTGAGTTATTCCTGTGCTGAAATTCTCAGGACCTGTGTTCACGGTGGGTAGTGCTAACAGCCAATTCCAATCCTGCCCTGCATTTTTCTAATCCAATACCAAAAAGGAAACAAGGATTATAGCCCATGTTAGCATTAAGAGTCAAGCTGCTTGGGCTACTCCCTCACAAATAATCCCTGGCTGCCACACTTCATCTCCCTCTGACATCCTCTTCATGTGGAGGGAAATAATAAAGGTTCCCGAGGCTGGTGCAGCCAGCAGGTTGTGTATTTACAGTCACAAAGTCTGCTCTGCCACCTAGGCAGCCTGCACAGGCAGGGCGGAGGAAACGGGACCTTCAACATCTCCATAATCACGAGGACCTTGATCCTGGCGGATCTGCTTCATCACAGCCAGAGTGAGGAAGTGGGTTCCTTCTCAACCTGGGTGACTCCCAAGGTCCAACCTGTGACTCCCAAGGAGCCAACAGATCCCTCTCGAGTCCTGAGAACAGCAGATGGTCTGGGACATCTTCAGACGCACCCCCTACACTGACTGGAGTCCCCAAGTGCATGCTCACAGGATGGCTGGGGTCTGGCTCCAGGAGAATCCCTGCCCTTACTGTCATGGGACTTGAGACTGCCCTTCACAGTGAACGTGTTGGGGCACCAGAGCCATGGCACCCCAAAACATCTGAAATAGCGTAACTAATAATAGATGGGCTGGAAGCCTAGGAGAAATGTTGACATCACTCAAGTCTTTAAAACCACGGGGAGTCAAATATTCCACACTGCAGCTTGAGCTCCAGGCAGCCAGCACAGGTGCCCAGGGGCTGGTTTCCCGGGACTTGCCTCTTTGCTAGGGGAATTCAGGGAATCTCAACTCAAGTGCCCTCCTCTTTAACCAATGCAAAGTGCAGGGAATATTCAGTTACTGGGGTTCGATTGTGGTAGCTCTAAAAAGAACCTCTTGAATAAACCCCAGTGGCAGAGAGTGTAACACTACTTTGCTGGCAGAGATCACACCACATTTCTTGTAATTAAGAAAAACAATGCCAAGTTACATCAGGTGAAGGTCCAGATGCTGGCGTGTGCGGGCAATATGGCCGTAGGCAAGTTTAAAGTGTTTTAGGCTTCCATTCTCTCATTAGCAAAATTAAAATTGTGATTTTATTTTATGGCCATTAAGAAGATTAATGAGATCAAATGCCTAAGTCTGGTGGCTGGTAATTGTGAGGCATTCAACAAAAGGCACTTCTGTGATGTCAGAGTCGAGGTCTCTTGTTTCATATTGAGACACTCCTTGCAAAACAATAAAATGCAAAATACAGCCTCCAGGAGAGGCCAGAAAGGGCTGGGCCCCTGGAGCAGAACAGTCTTTGAACCCCCAGCCAAACGCTCTTCCCTGTCACACAATGCTCGTGGGGCCGGCCTGGACGAGGTGCTGAAGTTGAAGCAGGTGTCCTTTCTCCCTTACCTGGAAAACAATCACCTTGACACACTAAGCAAAGTGATTCAGATGGGCTGGGGGACAAGCAGCTAAAACTCCACCCCCTGCTCCTCCACTCACTGGCTGCGACTTTGGGCAAGTTATTGCATCTCCGTGTCAGCTTCCCTCTGCACAACAGGAAAGATACGTCTGCCTCAAAGCTACCGGGAGGTGGGTCTCCCGGGTGGCGCAGCGGTTGAGCCACCGCTGGCTTTCACCGGCACCACCACCACCAATTTTCAATGCTATTTGACCTTCCTAATACAGAAGAATTCAATCATTTCCAGCAGGTTTCTTACTGCCTCTCATGGAGTTGGTGATATGTGGACTGGCTTCCAGTTTACTTATCTGTATATAACCCCTTTGGCCATTCAACAATGGTGCTTTACTGAGCACCTGCTAAGTGCCAGACATGGTCCCAGGCATCGGGATAAAGACACAGCAAACAGCAGTTCTCCACAGATGCCCATGCCCGGCTCCCTGCTTGCACTGCCAGGCGCTTACCGGGGAACAGGGAGGCAGCCAACAAACGCGAGGACATCATCGGTCATTCTAGAGACTGGCAAGTGCTCAAGGAAATTAAAAAGGAGGGTGAACTAGAGTGTGAGGAGGGCTTGGAGGAAGGCCCTCTGGGGGGGGGACAGGATGTGCAGTCTCCAGGTCTGTCTGGATCAAGGGTGGGACAGCCTGGGGATAGAGAGAAGAGAAGGATGGGGAGACGCCGCATGCGCCTTGAAGGAAAGAATGCTCAGGGCATACTTGAAAGGTCACCCCATGCTCCCTGAGGACTCCACAGTCACTCGGTGTGTTCTGCTCCTGAACACTAAGCCCCATTCAGTCACCTTCAGACATGACAACTGTCTCTCCTTCCTGCACCCTCCCTCCCGCCTGGCTCTGGAATCTGGCATAAAATAGTGAGTTAGCAAATGCCTGCAGAATGAACGAGCCCTGTGAGTGCACAGCAGAGTGGAGCCTGCCAGAGTGAAGTGACAGTTCTCTGTGCAGCACACCCCATGGCTGAAGGTGCTTCCCTCATGGGTCTTCACAACCCCCTATACCACCCCTCCAGCCAGCACTGTCCTCATACCCCCAAGATTCACAAGTTCCAGTCCAGAGATCACTGCTTGGGAAAGAGGTCTTGGAGGCTCTTTCCTGGGGACTGTTGGGGAGATAGGTCTCTTTCATCCTGAGGAGTAAGACAGGTAAACTATGGCTATTCTGGGCTGTCCAAGTTCGGAAGCCAGAGGATCTGGAAATGTTCTCTAACTCCCCTCACCCAGAATCACTG